ACAAGGATCTCCATTCCCTCCACGCAGGTTGAATTGCAGCCCTAGGCACCTCCTTCCTTCGTTGTCCGCCTTAAGCTGAACCCATGCGCTTCCTAGTGAAGCATATTTTGTTTGGCAGGCCATTGTCAAGGGACATACAGCCCTTCATTCCCATTGTTTCTTCTAATGGTGGTTGTGCCTGGGTCAGACAGTACTTAGTCATGATGAGAGATGAAGATACCAGTGTTGAAAGATTCAGCACATGATGATACACTGAATTCTTTATACTTGCTTCTTCATGAAAGTTTTGACTTTTATTTAGTAAAATAACTAAGCTTTATAGTGAGGCACTATCATGCTACCCAAGTTTAAAAAATAAATCATGTCAAATATTGCTACCACGGTATTTATTTCATAAGAGAAAATCAAGGTGACAACTTTTCTAATTTTCATGTTCATTTTGGTATCACCAGGGCACAAGAATCTTAGATTAGGTGAAGCAGTGAGGGGTAGCCCACATGCTCAGGCTGAAGTTCTCCTCCTCCAAAGGCATAAACATGAGTTAATTTGAGTTTTAGGTTGTCCTGGTGTTGTGGACTGTAATTAAAAGTAATTCTAGGCACACAGTGGATTTTCCCTATTGCTTCCAAAAAACGAATAAAAATGCAAGACATTGTGTGCCAGGTCAAAGATCCACATAATCAAAAATCTTCTGTCTATGCATGTTCGGTAACAAAAATGGAGGAAACAGGAAAAAAATCGTATAAACATCCAGTGATCACTGTTGAGAGATCCTGTGACATATGATTGCATTACTTTTATTAGCAGCAGAACAAAATCAAAATAGATGTTCATGGTATACTCTGATTCTGGGGCTGATTCCGCACTTCATTACGCTTCATACTTATCCGTATAAACAGTGTCATAAAAGTAATTACAGTGGCATACAACCAATGGAACTGGAAAACTAGGTTTGCTTTCTTCACTTAGGAAGTTTGGGGATTAAGCTAAAGTCATTTTTGTGTTTGTGATTTGCATCGGAGTATCATTTCATTTAAGCTTTACATATGCAGGGAAAAATGAGAACTACAACTACAGTCAGTACAGAATATAGAAAATAGAGCAATAGTGTATACAAATAGAGCTGAGGTTGATGTGGGAGAGAGCAGAATATAGCCTGGCTGATTCCTGCCGTATCCTGCTGAAGATAAATCCTTAATCGGATCCTTCATTAACATGAAGTGTGGAAAAAACAGCTCAAGCCAGAGATTACTTACTAAATGTAGTTAGTGGAAGAAATTATGCATTGAGGAAAATATGAAATCCCTCAAATTAATCGTTCAAATATCTGGAGTTTGACTCTCCTCTCTCTTACACTGGGATAAATCAAGAATAATTCAATTTCAGTGACTGACATACTAGCATAATTGGAGAATAAATTGAGCTTGCCTGCTCTCCCAGGATTTTAAAAGATTTACATTTTTAAGGCAAAATTATTTGCACTTCAAATTTTTACTCATCCATTCAGAGGACGAATCATGACCCCATGTCACAGACTGTGACCCTTTAATATATGATCTCTACCTGCTTAAACCCTGGCTGGAGTCTTCTTGCCACTCTGTGGGTTCAATATCAGTTGGCTTAAGTTTGTCTCTGGTTTTAGTATTCACTGCTTAAAAAAAGTCAAACTAGATCTTCATGTTAAGTGATCAGTGAAGCTCTGAAACGTACCTCGTTCTATGTAGTCACTTTTACAGTGTTAAATTCCTGCTTGAAGATTAAAACATCAAACTAGTCATTACTGTATACAGGCAGAGCAGAGTTTCTACTGAATTTGAAAATCTGTCTTTTGATTTTTTGATGATTTCCCAAACCTTCCACATCCGTTGTTCAGCTTCACACAATGCCTTCACATATATTTGTACTGTCCGTGCACCTCCATTGACTGAAATGTTTTTATGCCTGCCCTGTAGGTTTTTGTTTCTAGCAAGCCTGTGTCATAGTTGCTTTCTACTGATTCTCTTCTACATGCAACTGAATGTATTTTTTGATATATAAAGAGATAAAGTGTGTTGCATTGGTAGCCTAAGTCATCATGCCGTGTAATATAAAACAGAACAGAACAGTACCGGATTTTCTTACTTTTTTTTTTCAGTTAGTTGTATAACTCAGGAGAGTATAACTGAGGAGGATAATGCAGGAGGCATGCTACAGTAAGCATTTATTATTTTGTTCTCATTTCCTATGAGAAGATGAATGCGCTGACATTACCACAATAGAAAATGCATGTAGTTGGCAAATGTCCACCATATTCTGAAAGCTGGTTGTTGTTGATGGCAACTTCAATGTGAGCCGTCTTTCTGTGCTTGGGGAGTGTAAGATGTGTGCCTGTTTGAGTTATCACACTAATCCCTGCTACCAGATAGCCTTTCATTCCTGTAACAAAAACGTAATCCTCTGCTGTTACTCGGTACTCATTGTTCTGGTCTGAAGAGGGAATTACATTAAACAGAAGGCAATTTCTTGTTCCTCCCCTTGCTTCTGGACAAAGAACAACATGGTTCCCATGTAGGCAGTACTTAAATCTTCTGTTGAGAATATTGTGCATGTGCATGTGCACATTTGCACATTTCATGAGTGTCCTTTCCCTTTAATGGCTGATACAGTTAAAATTGTTTCCACATTTCTAAAATTTCTGCCTTTTTTGTCATTCTTGAAGGTGCCAGATCAATGTTTGTTCACACTGGGGATCGTCCACACACTGTTTTGAACCTTTTTCCACCATCGTATTGTTGGCAAGGGAAAGTAACCTTTAAAAAAAAATGCAATTGTTTTTACAGGTTAGCACTGGAGAAGGGTGATCTTCAGGCAGTTTTTGTGGGTATAGAGGGTACGTTGGTGAGTGCAGACTGGTAACTAGAATTCTGTGACAATTTGGCACTACTCAACCCCAGAGAGGTGCCTGTGCGATCGGTCAGTCACAAATGGGATCACTTGTATTCTTCAGTTCTTCAGAAGAGAAAGAACTGACAAGTTCTTTCTCTTGCTGATAAACACGTCCTTGTATGCAAGGAGAAGATGCCTGCACCGAAGAGAGGAGAGAAGTAGTAACTGTCCGAGAGGAATGTCTTTGAGGGGAAGAACAGGTGAACTGTATGAAGGGGATTTTTTTGCAAATGCTTTACTGAAAGTCCCAGAAGAAAATTTAAGAATTCCCAGCTCTAATTCTGATTGGATACTTTTCCCTTTTTTCTCCTGAAAAGCTGTCACTTCCATTTATACCCTTTACTGTTGGGGCATTTTTGTACTTTTTTTAAAAGTGTATTTAAAATACATATCTGTAACATTGAAGCCAATTTATAATGCTCATAGTCACCCCCTAACTTGTAACCACTATGACTGCTTTCTTCAAAATAAAACTGCAAATTTTTCTGAAAGTGAAATAAAAATATTATCTCTGGAAGCCATGCAAAACACCATGCTTTTCTTGGAAAGAAGTGCTAACTGTTCATACAGGTTGTTCTTTACGGCATCATTCAGAAAATTTGACTTATTATGGTTGAATCTCCCTTGATGGGTTGAGGAAAAGGTGGCTAGAGTTTCTGTTGGTTTTGGAGGGCTGTTTTTTGTTGTTTTGTTTTTTTTTTTTTTCCTTTTCAGTTGCCAAGAAAGCAGAATGCTGTTTTCATTACTAGGACAAATGTCAGAGTATTTTAGCACATAGTTATGTAGTTTACAAAACAAACATAGCTGGTCCAATATCTACCAAAATACAAGACTGATAATGACATAATCTTTGAAATCTGGGAAATGTAGTTCAACAGGAGAAACTAACTTTAGAGACAGATTACATCTTACCACATAACGGAGAAGACACTTGAAGGCATTTATGGTCAGGCTCAGTCACCTGATGGCTGTGGAGCTGTCCATTGCCAGTTGTCTGTACCATGCAGAGGTTCCTCAGACGGTGGAAAGTGGGTGCACTTAGGGCAGGAAATGACAGACTGACTTACCTGCAGTCTGCAAGTGAACGTATGCCCATTAGAAAAATTTATAGACAATGAAATTAATGAAGTGAGAGGTTCACTATTAAGTAACCTCAAAATATTTGCTGAACTTTACATTGGGAGATATGTTTTTCAGCTCAAGTACCTTTGAGTTCTGTGTCAAATGGCAATCTGACCAGTCAGCACTTCACTTTATTAGCACCTGGTAAATAGTCACTCTCCTGTTCTCACATCAGCTTTGTAAAATAAATAAAGATAATTATTGTAACTTCCTGGAGAATGGAATTCAGAGCAAAGAGAGACTTATCCCACCCATCTGAAATTCTCATGTGAGAGGTCACTTTTCTGTATGCATTTTCCCTGTCATTGAAGATATCTGTAAATCTCTTTAAGGCTTGTGCATTGGAGTAACACAGAGTTACAAATGTTAAATGGGATATAAATGTATAGAAAAGCATCTGGGAGCAGTTACTTTGATTAATTGGTTCATTGTTTGTGGTTCATACATTACTGAAAGCACAGTGTGTAGATCATCTATAAATCATAATGTGTAAATCACGGGCAGGCATATTTGTGAGGTTCTTTGGCTAGTTTGGTGCTAAGAATTTGTGTGCATTAAATTTTGGTGTAGTTCTTCTGTAGGCTAGGATTTTGTCCGAGGTAACTTTGTACAGCTGTAAATCAGGAGTGTCTTCATGAGATCAGTGCAGGTTTTATCGGAGGAAATCTGGTGTCTTCTGGGACTGTGCATCTGTTGAAGAGGATAATTCACGGGCTTAACCTCAGTTCTCAAGCAGACATTAAAGAGACCTTCAACAGGTTCAGTGGGCTTTAGTTCATCTCCGTACAACTCTACAGGCTTTAAGCTGAGAACATTCCTTCCCTACGTGACTGGCTCTATGAGGAAGGATGGAGGAATGTAAAAAATGTAAAGCAACACATTGGAGAAGTGACACAAGCTGTGAAATGTGGTATCCTGAACTTCTTTTCTTCTTGTTTTGTTTTGCTCAACAGCTTGTCCCCCAGGAACATACAAGCCTGAAGGTTCACCAGGTGGAATCAGTACGTGCATCTCCTGTCCCGACGAGAATCATACTTCTCCACCAGGAAGCACCTCCGTTGAGGACTGTACGTGCCGGGAGGGATATCGTGTTGTAGGACAAACCTGTGAAGGTAAGTGTTTCTAGCCAGAAACTGAACGGTCCTGTAATCCACGATGCAGTTCTGGGGCAGCTTCATTATTTGTCTTTGAAAGACAAGTCAAATTGCATGCAAGATTTTGTGTGTCTCTCCAAAACAGCAGAAGTACCAAGGTGCAACTAGAATTGGAAATGGAAAAAAAAAAAATGTTTTCCTTCAGTAGCCTGCTACATTCCAGCTGGTGTGATAACTCTGTTGTGGTTGTTTAATTATTTAGTTGTTCACTGCCCTGAACTGAAGCCCCCTGAAAATGGTTACTTTGTCCAGAATGTCTGCAACAATTACTTTAATGCGGCCTGTGGGATCCGGTGCAAAGCAGGATTTGATCTCGTGGGAAGCAGCATCAGGCTTTGTCAGCCAAATGGCCAGTGGTCTGGATCAGAGGCTACTTGCAGAGGTATGAATGTGTGCTTGAAAAGTCATTTTCTTTTGGGATCGTTTGTTCTTAATAGTGATTTACTCTGATTGATCCCTGGTTAGGTGTGCAGGTCTGACACTCTTAGATGAAAGAGTCACCTCAGTCATTCTGTTTCCCTCCTTCCTAAAATGATAAGAGGATATCTACAAAAGAGAATGTAGAGCATTATTTACTAGGTAGTTAGTCAAACATATAACAAGACCTTGCCACACAGGTGTCTTACAACGGCCATCAGTCTTCTCACATAGCCAGGCATTGGCTTACAGTTCCTTCTTATGAAGAATTAAAGTAGGAAGGCCTTGAGTATAGTCCTCTGAAGATTGTTGAGTGGAGTTTCACAGGGGAACAACTGACAGTATCCTAGGAGTTTGCTGTAAGGGAGCATCTGCTGGAAAAGTAATAAACAGAAAGATTGAAAGGGAGAAGACATGGGAAAGAGCATCCTTAAAAGCATGAATGAAAAAATTATTTGTAGAGCTCTTACAAGTATGTAGAAAGACAGTTTGTTTTTTTTCATCACTTGCTTTTGCCTGAGGTTCTTGGTTGTTTAGAAGAAGATGATGCATCCTCATGCTGTCCTGCCTGGTATTTCCCCCAAGGAGAGCCTGAAAAAGCAAGTAGCAGCCTTCATCTCCTCAACAACCACAGTTTGTAGTTTAACATGTTTAGCTCAAGTTGCATACACTTGATATTGGTCTGCACACCAGAATCTAGTAAACGAGAAGCAATCACCTCCTACAACTCTTGTCCTGGCCATGAATTTTGGGGAAGAAGTGGAGTAGGTTCTTGGCGGCTTTAGCACTTTATGCTACTACCAACACTGCAGCCCTTAAGGAAACAGCAACCGATGATTCTGAAAGCAGGGATCTGAGGTGCAGTTCCTTGGGACGTTCTTAGAGCAGTTCACTTTTGCTTACACTGCAGGGCTGTTCTTCAGATAATCTGGGAAAACTGTCTTCTTATATAGCTTCCAGTAAGAAGACAGAAAGGATAAGCTTGAAATAAAAAATAAGCTGCTGTCCTGTACCTCTAGGGTGCCTTCAGAAGGCAAAAACAAAGAGATAAAAACACGGGTTGAAGATTCATACCACTTTAGGTAGACTCGGGTACTGGGGAATAGCTCCTGCCTGTCAAAGCTTTTGTTGCACAGTAGTGTAGAAAAGCGGAGAAAGCTGCAGTCAATGACAAAGAAAGGATCCTTTATCTTCACTGTCTTTACTCAGGTGGAACTCTCTAGTACTTGGGAAAGCTTCTAGAGCAACTAAAAATATTCACCTGCTGGGTGTAGGTGCATGATCTTCCTTTAGCTAGGGTTTTGTTTGGAAAAGTAAGGGAAAAAAATGATTTGAGGTATTGTCTTGATGTTGAGCCAATTTCATTTGAAACATTGAAAGGATATATTTTTGCCTTTCTCATGCCCCTCCATCATCCTGAAGACTTCCAATCAAAAAATATATGTATTAAAAAATCCTACCTTTACATGTGCTGGATCTGCTACTCTCTATTCATTCAAACTATGGAAGGGAGCAAGATCAAAGACACGGTTTATAGCTGTCTTGTTAATCCCAGGGGTATTTTATCACATAAATTAGGACGGGACCTTAAAGGAAAATCCCTTGGCACTGCTTTGGATTTTGACATTAAACACTCCTCAATTGCTCTGCTAACTAAAATCTGCTGTGCTATTGGAAAGCAATTTATGCAGTTATGTCTTGCAATTAACTGTGACCCATGATAAAAAGCCCTATGAAGTGTGTATGTAATCCTGATAAATGTATTAGGAGAAAACACAGCGCAAGCAGAATATACCTTTGTTGATGTTTTCCCTGACTTTAAGGAAATATTTACTGGTCATGGAAAGTGTTTAATTGACAAGAGGATGGATTTGTGTTTTAAGACATGAAAACATAACCAGGATAACGTGGGCTCGATTCCCAGTTTCCATCAGAGCCATACTGAAACTCTGAAGGAAAGTGAACACAGAAACACTGCGGAGGCAGGAGCACTGGGGAGTACAGCTAGCGTGGTCAGAAGAGGTGACTAGACTTACCGAGTGGTGGAAGCACTCTCCATAGACATTACATTGCTGAGGTGCTCCTCCTCAGTGCTCATAATTCATTCAGCCTTCCTCAATAATAACCACAGGGCTTGGTAGTATTTGCTTCCTTGTACCACAAGTTGGTTACTAAATGCTTCCATAGAAACAATGAAAGAGAAAGCCTATTCTCTTCTGCGTGAAGCATATGTGATTCAGCTGCAAAATGTCTTTCCTATTCACTGCACTGCAGTTCAGGTGCAGCTTATTAGAAAGCTGCTCAGAAGTGTTGAGTGTCACTAGCAAGATGGAAATTTCAAGGTCTTTTTTATACTCTTTCATGCACTCTCTAGTGACCGCCTGTCTGTATGTGTGCATGAGAGGAATAGTATTTTTAAAGAGTGAAGATGAGACAGTGGTAATACAAAGATGTATCAGATGCATCTGAGTGGCTTTTTTTTCTTTCTTCTATATCCTAGGTTACCTAGGTTTCCCTGCAGATATTTTTTTTCACTCAGATTTCCTATAGCTATGTTCACATACAACATTATTTAATGAGGGTGGTTTGGTTTTTTTTCAGCTTTGAGGGGCTTGTGGTTATTGCCATTTGTACACATGATTTCATTTGAAGGAGAGGTCAGCATATTGGTCAGCATATTTCCCCTTTTATTCGTTTTAGGGAGTATCATGCTCAGTTCAGTCCACATGTCCAGCTGCAGGCATGTCTTGTCTCATCAGTATGCACAGTAAACAACTACTGGGAAGACGAGAGAAAGTTGCCAAGTTGGCTTACTTTCAAGTGTCTTTGGAGAGGAGCTTGTGGTCTGCCTCCTACCAAGCAGCAGCTAGGATGGTTTACTTGGTAAAATTGGCATTCCTACCGCAGCAGAGAAGCCGTCCACAGCTCTGAAGCCATACATTGTGAGAGCTTGCCCCCTGCCTGCAAGGTCAACAGAAGCTGTGGAAACAGTCCTGAGAAAAGAATAGTTTAGAGAGCTGCAGCCTGCTTGATTACATTTTTGATCAGCCACGCTGTTTGCCTTTATGTATGCTTTTCTCCCACTAATAACTTTTGAACCAGCACCCTCCAACCTTGCCTGAAGATGGTTTTCAATGATACAAGTTTTCCATAGCTTTGGAAAATCAGCAGCTAGTTAGAGAAGAGAGGCATGAATTGTTGAGGGGAAAGGTACGGTAGGACCTCAGCAGGCATCTATCTACTCATTTCGGCTTGCTGTCACCCTGTCATATATATATATTATCATCATCATCGTATAGTTATGTCCAGTCAATGGGTGTGCATGTCTCAGCTGTTCAATGCAGGTGACCCCAAAGGTGTGTACATACAGAGGGTAGCAAGGGGATGAAAGGAAAGAGACAGGTACTGGCTGAAGAGGAGAAGGGGAGATAAAGAAATTAAATCGAGGCCTTACCAGTGCCTGCATCAATAAATTGAGGAGTGCCTCAGGATGTTCCCAAGCACTGGGACACAGTCATCTGCTCTGTTAAGCTCTTAGCTTCTTCCCTGGCATGCCCTCAGCCCATACCAGACTGGCAATTTGGAATTTCCCAAACTGTCAGGCACGGCTGGGGAATTAGAAACATAAGAAAGATCCAAAATTTTCCATAGGATTGCATTTGCATGCAATCCTGGAGGCTGATAGACTTTACTAGCATAGGTTTCTTGGTGCCAAATGTCTCCAAAGGTTGGGAACTTTCCTGGGGATAACGAATTTGCTAACTTACATCAGAATTTAGGATGGTGTAGAATTGTGTTCCTAACTTCATACGTGTTACATAAGACACTCTCTCAAGAAAAGGAAGGCATCAGTCGTTCCAGCCCTAATCCCTAACTCTGTTCCAACTTCTGTAACTAGTGTACAAAACAGTACCTTCCCTATCCCTGAAAACCTTAGGACTAGAGTTACGGGTTCTCAGTGCTGCAGAGTGAACTTTTTTTTTTCTCCCTTTGCAGTTCGGACATGTCCCAAACTTCGGGCTCCTGAAAATGGTCAAATTAATTGTTCAACAGCTGACGTCTCCTATAAGACCGTATGTTTACTGACCTGCAATGAAGGCTATGAAATACAAGGAAATGCCAAACTCACCTGCCTGGGAACCTCACAGTGGGATTCAAAGGAGCCAAAGTGTGTGGGTAGGTATCTGGTTGCACTCTGTTCATGTCAGAGCACAGCCTTTCCTGATGTGCTGTCATAAGTGAGAAACTCTAACAATTTCAATAGCTGATGAAGCCAAGGTGAGAGTGAGAATTTGTTTATGGGTGTTTCATACAGATTTTAAAGTTTGGGAGGGGTGAAACCATTTGTAAATGGAATAAGCAGGAAGATTAACATTCAGATCTAGCACAGACAACCAATAGCCAAAAGGTTGTTGAATCTGGTGAATCACCGTGATGTGATAAGTTGTAAGAAACACACATCTTGTAGACTTACACCACAGATTAACCGTGAACAGAGGTTTGAGTTACCCTCTTAAAGCTGAAGGCTCAGGTGTGTCAGACAGGCATTGTGAGTGCCAAACAGAGTTGGGGCTGTTGTTTCTGCTGAACTCACAGCAGGAAATAAGTTGAGAAATATTAGGAACCAAAACACTAAGGCAGAATTCAGAGGTCACACCAAAGGTACAGCAGTAGGTAGGCATATATTGCTGTTCAGACACTTTCAGTTACACAGAGAAATAAAGGATTGTAGATTTCTGAAGTACCCAGTTGAGACTACTGACAGGTACCGAATTCACTTAGAAGCTTAAGAGGAAGAAATAGCATCTAAAACACTTCTGAGGTTAGACTGCAAGAAAAAGAGCACAAGCTTAAAAGTCCAGCATTTCAAAAGCTGATCTGGTGCCGACTAACGCTTGAGTTAAGTACATGCCACCTGGCTCCAGTTAGGGTAATGCTGGCAGGGTAATTTGGGTTGAACCTGTGACTATTTTTGAACTACAGTCCTAAAGATGTGGACTTTGCTTGAGACAAGAATAAATTTCTAACTGAAGATATGTGTTCTAAAATCAAAAAGTATTAATTTATCAGGAGAGTTCATTAAGAGATCCTAATCTCTCTTCTGTTGAAGTCAGTGTAAAAACTTCAATTAACTTCAAAAGGAAGGGACCCTGAAATCCTGTTGGAAGATTATAATTGGAAGATTAACTATATTCATCAGTTGAACTCATCCTTCCTAGCTTAGCATTTTGATTATTAAAATCCATCTCTTCCCTGTATCAGATTTCTTCACACCATGCAATTTTCCTTCCATGCCCGGATTACCCTTGGCAATGGCTTATTTTTGCTGAATCTGAAAATCCAGTATAAAAGTTAGCTTTGGTTGTCCCAGAGGGAAACGTGTGAGCTAGAAACAGCCTCTGCCATCAGGCTTTCTGAGATTCTTCTCAGTACTGGTGTGTGGAGTTTCATTCAGAGAAAGATATAAACGAGGAGACTCTTAAGAGCATGTCCCCTTCAAAACGTATCCTTGGTACTCATTTTCAGAACATTCATCATTATCATAGAAGTGTTCCCTATTTATTTTTAATCCAAGCAGTTTCTAACTATTATTTGTCATCTGCTGGATGAAAGAAACCAAAAATCCTTGTGTATTTATGCATATGTAGTTAATAATTTATCTATTTCCAACCCTTCTGTTGACAAAATGAAGTGGGATTAGGGTCGGTCTCCTGCCTTGGAACAGATTTCTTGGATCTCAGGGTACACTTGTAGCTGTTTTTCTGAGTGCTTTCCAGTTTGAGTGGACATCAATGCAAAGTTTACCATATTTAAACGTTAGCTCTGTAAGACTGTACTGCAACCATCTGTAAACATAATTGCCACAGTGTCATCCATAATCTGGATTGTTTACAGGCACTTCTGTGAGGTCTGTTTCATATACGTCTTTTTCCAAGAGAGTGGAAGTTAATGCTTATTTGCTATTTGCATGTATTTTTAAGTCTTTTTTTTTTTCATGGTGTTTGCAATTAGTTAGCTTTGCGTAGGTTGCATTACATTACAGACTGCTTAAAAACAAAATACTTGCTAAAAGGAAAGGCTTTATCTTCTGTCCAAATCGAAAAAAATGTATTTCCTCAGTCATGTTCTTGTGTTTCTTCACCCTGTGATAAAGGCCTAATATTAAGCACATTAAAATTAATGAACTTTGCAGGATACCGTTCCCCTTGCTTTGTTCAAGTGTTCATGAAGAAAGATAAAATCCGGATGGCATCCAGGGTGTTGATGCCATCTAGTGTTAAAAAAATTAGTACTCCGCAATTCTAATAGCAGTTGACCGATAACTTTCCCTGAAATGTCTTTGTAAAGGGGTTGAAGGAAGGAAGTGTGATTTGCTTGGTAATCTATTTGTTAGTTACTGTATTGAATCATCTTGGTCTCTTAGACCAGCCCAGGTTGGAAGTGACCCTGAAAGATACCATCACTCTGTTCCTCACAGAGTCCGGACTTCCTGGTCAGCTTTATCAGACCATGTAAATGAGCACAAATAAAAAAGCCAAACAACAATAATACAGCTTATTTGTTTGTTTGTTTGTTTGTTTCTGGTAAAAACCTGTCCCACTTTAAACAGATTCCCTGTGGCTAGATATGCCAAAGGTTAACCTGAAACTTTGTCTGATATTTCAGGATTGTGCTCTGCTAGGATCTTGCTAGTATACTTGGAAGCATCTTTATCAGGACTGTTACCACTTAGCCAAGAGCTGTAGTTTTCTTTTTCTTACACTGTGTCTTTTACAGCCTTTCTTCTACTTATTCCCTGAGTAGCATTCATCTTAATGCTTTTAGCTTGTCCATTCAGACATTGTTTTTTTCCAGTTCGTGATCTTTCTTCTATTTGTCAGTATCCTTCCATGGTGACCAACCACAGGTTAGATTTTATTTTTTTTCTGATGGAGTTGTTCTGCATTTCACAGCCAACAGCATCTACCTGCAGTGAATGTGTTAACATTTACGATCTTTGCAGCCTGTTGAAATATCTGTTCAGAAGCTGCAGCCTGTTGCAGTTATTAATTGCTTAGACTTAGACACATATTCAGTATTGCGAGTTTAGAGGACAGGAAATACTTAAAATGCTTAGAGTATTTGAGATTTGTTTCATGCAGAAGAACCAGTTTTCAGTGACTGCTGCATATCTGGGGAGAATATATACCCTTTCTTTGGGAAAGAAAAGGGATATGTACTGTTTTGAATGTGAATCACTTCTGTGTCATTAAACCATCGCTAAGAGATGAACAGAGCTTTGCCTTCTGTAGCTGTGTTGTTTTGTTTTGTGTGTGTGCCTTTGTGTAGAAACTTTCCTGCTCTCTTCACCAACTAGCTAAAGAGTTACAGTTCTTCTCATTTGCTATAGTCAATGAAGCATTTTTCTTGTGTCTTTGTTCATTACCTGTTGGAAGAATCACTCCTGAAAGTCTGCTTATCGGAATTAATGTGATAAACATTTTTGTCCTGTTTGTTAATGACTGCATGTTTGAAGTAAAAATAATACTCCTTGTCTCACATGGTAAAAACAACAGCTCAAAACTGAACAAGGCTGTGAGAATTGGACATGTTTACATACATTGCATTGTTTGGAAGTTTACACTTCAGTGCAAATATGCTTCAGAATTTGTATTGAATTCTTGTTACAAAACAGTTCAAAACCTCAATTCTAAGCCTCAGAGCAATCATCGTCCCTTCTTAACATTGGAGGGATGTTCAGCTGCCTTTTATTGTTACCCTCAATCTTTGCATCTGGATCTGAACACAGTCAAGACCAATCCTAGTTTCACTCAGTTTGGAGTACAGTAGGCAAAATCACATGCCATATCTCTGATCTCAGGTCAGCTCATGGCATGGGGTCCTTTTCTGTCTCACATCCTTATTTCATTTAATGCAAAAGCTGTACAAGAAGGCAACAAATGCAAGACCATTGCTCAAAAGAACCAATTTCCATAAAAAGCAAGGGAATGCAACTTCAAAGTAATCATGAAAGGTAAAGTTGTTTAAAAAAGTTGTTAAAAAGTTGTTTAAAATAAAAGGTGGCTGGGAGGGGAAGGGAGAGCAAAATATAGTGGAGCCACATGATGAATACATTTGTGTCTAACTGAAAAGCAAAAGCAGAAAAATCATAGAAACACAGAATCATAGCATGGTTTGGGTTGGAAAGAACCCTAAACCTCACCTCATCCAACCTTCCTGCCATGGGCAGGGACATTTGTAGATCAGGCTGCCCAAGGCCCCGTCCAGCCTGGCCTTGAATACTTCCAGGGATGGGGCATCCACAGCTTCTCAGGGCAACCTGTCCAAGTGTCTTACCACCTTTATCATGAAGTTTTCCTTCCTTATTTCTAATCTAAATCTACTCTCTTTTACTTGAAAGCCATTCCCTCTTGTCCTGCACCTATACCCCCTGCCAAAGAGTCCCTCCCCAGCTCTACTGTAGGCCCCCTTTAGTCACTGGAAGGTCTCTCTAAGGCCTCCTCAGAGCTTTCTCTTCTCCAGGCTGGATCCCAACTCCCTCAGCCTGTCTTTACAGGAAAAGTTCCAGCCCTCTGATTGTCTTTGTGGTCCTCCTCTGGGCCTGCTCTAATAGGACCTGGCGTCCTGGATGCTGTTTACTTCAGTCAGCACTGGAAAACAGAATTTGAGTAGTTTCTACTGTTCACTCACAGTGCATGCAGACTTGTGAATTAAAGGTCTGTATGTTTTGTGTTCCCTCTGAGTTGCCCTATGACTTAATTTGCAGATTTGTTGGAATGTGCTTTTTTACATATGTCAGTTAAAAGATATATCTTAATGGTCTCTTGTAGAAATGCGTTGCCCCGCCTTCCAGAAACCAGCAGGAATAACAGTTTTCCCTCCAAGATGTGGGCTGGAACCAGCTGTTTCTGGGACTGTGTGCCAACTGAGCTGTCCCCAAGGATTCCTCTTGTCTGGAGCTAGAGAAGAACTAAGGTGCATTTCATTTGGGAGATGGAGTGCAAACATCCAGGAGGCTCATTGTAAAGGTAGAGACCAGCACAAAATACTTCTGTGTACACATGCGCAGAACTGAAGGGAAACAGGAATAGCTGAGAAAAGACAGATTTGAACTGGGGAAAGCATAATTTAAGCAGTATGTAAGAAGTGTTGTCCATACCATTATAGCTTGGTTCTCAAATTTACTTGAGTTAGTAATACTAATGTGAAATACAAAGTTTGCTTAAGTGCATTCTTAAAAGCGTTCATGGTTGGCTGTCACTCCTTGGATGAGAAGTCCAAGAAGGATGAGGTATGGGGATACTGCCTGCTAAAAGGCCTGATGTGAAGATAAATTTGAAATTTCAAAGTAAAAGTGAAAGATCTTAGCTTAAACGTAGTCAGAGTGGAACCTACACTCCTATTAAAACAGCAGTAACAGTAATGCTTCCAGTGATTTAGCACAGACTTATGTAAGCACTGTAGTCTGAGCAGACCTGTACTGGCTGTGCAAGTCCTGGCTGATACACAGGGTATGGAAGGATGCTTCTTTTCAGTTGGCTCTGACCTGACTACAGCTGTAGACGTGTCCTCAGTAATAATAGCACACAAGAGTCAGTGCCAAAACTGACGGAAAGAAGTGCACAGTCTATAGAGGAGCAGGAAATCGTTGCATGCATTTGAAGGGTCCTGTCGCGTTTGCCTAATTCTGGCATTGTAAGGTTATTTATTCTCTTACATGCATGCACACTGAGTTGGAAGGAATTTGGCTTTGGATTACAGGAGGACACAAGTGAAAGTGTAATTTGTCTGGAAATAGGCTATTCACCTCTTTGTGAACCACTGTGCTCCTAGAGCTAATGCTTCCACCCCAAACAGGGGCCTTCACCAGCCACTGCATGAAAGAACTGGACAGAAAACAGTTATGGCAGTCGTCTTGCCAAGTCACTACAGAAACTGAGGTGGGAACTTTTTCCTCTGCAGTGGCCAAGGAGATTTTATCCTTCCCTTTAAACATATCATTTCCCACTCTGTGATGTACCACATTGTTTTTCTGAATCTCTGTGTAAACCTGTGCCAAACCACAGTTTTTAATATTTGATGGGATCCCAGCACAGGGCTATGAGCTGAAGCGTTTGGATCAAGATAAAGCAGCATGGATTGGGTTCAAGCTTTTAGATACTACCAGTGCATAAAACCCTAAAATAAGAGGCACCAAGAATCTCTAAAAGTTATTCTTCTCTAGTAAAAATGAGCAGTGGCCTCTCAGTTGCTTTCAGTCTTATTATTGTCTCTCTCTATTTTGCTGCCAAAATATTTTCCCAGTTCAAAACAGCCATTTTCCTTCTGACTTATTTATTAGCCTTTCTACAAAATTTCACTTTTAAATGGAATTTGCTCCAGCCTGAAGGCTGTGGTCAGGGGAGTGAGAATTATAACTGGTAGTTATTAAAAGAGTTCACTTCTACTAAAATTTTCATCAGAATGAGTTCAGAGGAAGGCAAAACCACTTGTATTTATTGCTTTGCACTCTTAATTACAGGGGTTTAATTGTCTGACTTATGTCTTTACTGGAACTATGTAGTAATAAAAATGTAAGTGGTATCAGTCCTGAGTTGTTTTAAAGCCTCCTGGGCATGGATGAGTTCAGAGCTGAATGCTATCCTTGTCTCATGAGTCTTGAGACCATTTATCAAACAATACTACAGCAATAAAATAACTTGACCACAAATGTTTTGAGAGGCCCTGTGCCAGGGAGATGAAGAAATACTTTGTCGGAGAAACTTTGAAGTTTAAACGTTGGTGGTGATGTTACCCATATTGTACCACCAGTACTTTGGAATCATTCCACATTATCACATATGTCACAATAAGAGCTCATTAGTCCTAGTCAGTACCTTGTAGAAAGCATTTATTAAACAGCATTTCCAGTAACTGTTGACAGAAATCTTGTTAGTGCTTCTTTCAAGTCAGTTCCACACTATGTTACAGGGCATTTGGGAGTGACTACTGGCTTGCTCATGGTACATGTCCTGTCAGAAATAATTTTCTTTATGTCACTGATGATCAGAAACAAGTGTTTACATCTGTATGTGTCATGTGTGTGGGCAGTGAAAGGATAGAGAAGCCGTTCCTTCTTAATGAGTAGATGTGTGTAATGAATAGATGAATAATGAAACAATTCTGTCTTATTTATGCTTTGTTTTATGGTCATATGCAGAAACCAGAATCTCATTGTGTTAGGTGATGTTCAAAAATAAAACAAAACAGTCACTTCTCATGTAGAATTTACTGTTTATATAAGAGCCAGTAAGCAAGAATTAAAAAGAGGCAGAGACAGTACCTTTGCAAAAACGTGTATATATTCCAGGCAACACAAAAAAAAGCAGTAGTTATAACAACTTGAAGTCTAACAATTACATAGATTTTATTTCTATAATACCACATACAAAATATTTGTCTTCTGGGTCAGATATTGAAGCTCCTTGGATCCGCTGTCCAGAAAACATTGAGACTGAGACCCTGGAACATCAGAACTCTGCTAATATCAGCTGGCAGATCCCAATAGCTGAGGATAACTCTGGAGATGAGGCAAGTTAAAACCTTTACATTTGGCTGGGTGCATTCTTTTTTAGCTAGTTATTTCCAATTAATTTTCTGAACCACTGGAATTTCTTTCTTGTGACAAGCAGGAGTAGAAGACAAATATGCTGAAAACCTTGTATGTTGAGAATTCAGCATTTTCTGTCCCATTTAGGATTATGTAGTCACAGGACACTCTGCATGGTTGATTTATGTGGTCAAAAGGAGGAATGTGCCCTTGTTTATAAAATGGAGACAGCTGCTTTAAAATTAGCTCTTAGAATGTGAAGGAGTTTAATAAATGCTTCTCAAAAGGAAGTAAACCAGTTCATTAATCTAAAAGGCTAACAAGAGCACGCTGTGATAAGTAAAAACGCATTTCGGCTTCCCAAATGAGAAAGAAAAATCCCATTTTCTTATCCTATGCAAGGTTCAGACATGGGCCTTTGGCTACTATGGGTATCAGAGGTCTGGGAATGGAGTTTAGGAAAATTTGCTCCAGAGCTATTTCATAAAGAGTAACATTCCCTACAGGCTCAGACACGATCAAGTTACAGCAACTGTGAATGAATTATCATGAGTCAGCAGAGGAAGAGTGGCTGTATGTATGTATGCCCTGAATTTGCTGCAAACGCAGGAGATTCTTGCATTTGGAAACTGTGAGCAATCCCAGGAAAAGAGGTTTAAGTTCCCACAGGTTTTGGAGCAGCACAGCCATGGTCAGATACTGTAGCTCTGCTGACCCAGAGTCATTCACTGAGCTGTAGAAATGAAGTGCCTTCACTCACAGTTGTAGCTGGTTTGTCAAAGCCACAGTGGCTCAGATGAAGCCAGTTCTCTTCAAGAGAGGTTCCTTAATGCAGTTCAAACCCGTATGAAAGAGCTGTAGTCAGCAAGTAGGTGCTATTACTCCAAAAGCAGGGTTCTTCTGTGGTACTGGAATGTACTGAAGCATCTGTGGGCTATTAACTCATACAAATATGTAAATTAAAGCTGCATCTGCAAGTACTCACGGCACACAACCGTCTGCCCCACACATCTCCCAGGTCTGCTGCCCTTGCTGCTGGAAACGTGAACTGCAGACAAAGCAGGTTCTGAGCTGACACAGTTTGTGTGCAGCATAAGGAGGCAGACAGGAGCCTGTCTCAGACTGTCTTACTGCACAGTGCTGCAAACTTCAGCAGATCAGGGTCCAAATCCTGACTGAGTAAAGTTGCTATAAGGAAAGTAGTCTTGGGAAGGGAAGAAAGGCACTCTCTTGCAAAGTCCACTCTCATTACTTGAAGAGGCTATTAGCATTATGTAAGAGCAGGGTCAACATTAAAGGATACCATTTTGTGCCCATTTCTTGTAACATATGAGTGTTATGAATACTGGCCTGTTTTGTTTGTTGTTGTTTGTTTGTTTTTTTTAAGTAACAAGTGTCTTCCTATAAAAGGTGTCAGTGCACGTTACCCCAGCTTTCATACCACCATATCTCCTCCCGATTGGCGAAGTTGCCATTACTTACACAGCAGTTGATAAGTCAGGCAATGAGGCAAGCTGTACATTCAGTGTCAAGGTTATTGGTAAGTGCTGTTAAAAATCATTGGGAAAGAGTCTGTCATGGTTGAAACCTTCTCATTCTGTGCAGAAAGAGATGTTGGATCACCACGGCCTTTCTGTGTACATGGATAAATCCAGAAATAATGCCATCTCCATAAATGCATTGCTGATCTTGGGCCACAGTTCACATAGCATGCAGTCATTGCACCCACATGTTCGGTTTGGGTTGTTTTTTGTTCTGTTGTTCGTGTGAATGTTAAGATTATTCCTTATACTGATATATGAAATGCTTTTTTTGTGCTGCTGCTTACTGCCTTTATCATATACATCTTTTTTTTTTCTTCTTCTTGAAAGACTCTAAGAATTTCCATGGTTCCTGCACACTGCTGATGCAAATCATAGTTCAAGTATTTTTGCCAGACAGTTTTGTTATTCCACAGTCCTGTTAAACAAAGTTTGCTATGTAGAAAGCAAACAGAATGCAGAAACCATGACTTCAGCCAAAGAAATTGTATTGTATTACTGCTGTGCCATTCCCTTAGTGTCTATGAGATGTAGCAGTTACTCACAGGTGCACACCGAACTTTATTGTGTCTTCTGATGCAAACTTAAAACTGCTTTTTACATGACTTCTGATTATACATTTCACTTGAGTGTGGCTGCAGTTCAGTGAGCTAATGTCATGCCGTCCCTTCAAATTCTGTAGATGCAGAACCTCCTGTAATTGACAGATGCAGATCTCCACCACCCATACAGGCAGTAGAGAAGGAGTATCCAGCAACATGGGAAGAACCACAATTTTCAGACAATTCAGGTGAGATAGCGCACCCAAAAAACACACACAACCGTAAAAATGTAGAGAGTTTTGATCTGCTCACTCTTTGAGTTTATGATTTTATTATTATTTATTCTTAAGAGCACATCATTTGGAAGAGAAGACCTGCTACCATTTCTTTCTCCATTTGTTGAGGTTGAGTGTAAGCAACCATGTTTAGCTCACCGATATTCTAAGTTGTCTTTCAACTCTTCTAGGTGCTCCACTGACTATTGCTAGGAGTCACGCACCTGGAGATCTCTTTCCAAAAGGAGAGACAACAGTTCAGTACACAGCCGTGGATTCCTCTGGCAATAACAGGACATGTGAGATTCATATTGTCATCAAAGGTTTGTTGTCTTCTGACTGCTGGGACAGTTCAATAACGCGTTAGTCATGATGTGGTACTACAGCTCGGTATTCTCAGACCAGCAAAAGTGTATGGCTTTGTTGTAACTGAATATCATAAACAATGCAAGTCAACTCCAACCCTCATTCAGTCTCCGGTTTTCTTTTGGGTATTCCTAGTTTCTGTGGGAGTAACTTGAAGGCAGTTAGGATATCAGTTAGTACCTGTGAATAAATTACCTAAGCAGCAAGCAGTGAATTTAGCCCTATAAGTTCAAATTAGGTGTAAAAGCGATGAAATTAGTATTAATTAAAGCAGTAAAACTTCTAGTAATGGATCCAGAAGTGACAAATACGGTGTGAAATGAATTAATAGGTGTTAACTGAAGCCTAACTTGAAATCCGTACTTAAAAAGGAAAAAGATATGGAAATATTTTTCTAATCACCTACAAATACTGTAGCAGACACTGGAACATGCTTTAGGTTTTAGAAACTGTCTTTATCTATATATATACTTACATGTTTGTGTTGCTTGCACAGACAGCTTCTCCCCACAGTTTACGTTCTTCTTTAGAACACATCAGTAATTTGGCAGATAAAGAATAAAAACTGTACTCTCTCTCTGCCCTCTGGTGCTTATGTCTCAGTTGAACATCTGTATAAACAAATGGTATTGAAGAGAGTATCTAAAATCATGTAGACTGGACTTCTGGTTATAGCTTTACAAAAGGTAAATTGCAAATGGTTGTGCTACTTGCAGATTTGCTTTTGTAACTCTTAGCAAGGACAAGCCAGTTTGTAGAACTGGTATTATTTCAAGTCTGCACCACACCAGACTTTTTGTGGTCTCTGTGCTCCTAAGATGTTTTCAGATCTTCACAATCTCATTCAAATTTGGCTTGAACATAGATTAGAACTGAGATTTGATTTGGTTTAACCCAGCGGGCAGCTAAATGCCACTCAGCCACTTGCTCACTCTCCCCAGGTGGGATGGAGGAAAGTATTGGAAAAGTAAAAGTGCAGGAAGTATCCTGGCTGTGTCCCTTCCCAGCTCCTTGTGCATCCCCAGCCTCCTCCTGGTGGTACAACACAAGGAGCTCGAAAGGCCTTGGGCAAAGCTCTGTAAGCACTGCTCTGCAACAACTAAACATCAGTGTGTTATCACCAGTATTTTCATCAAATATCCAAACCACAATATCATGTGAACCTTCATGAAGAAAATAACTCTGTCCCAGCCAAAACCATGACAGGTTTTGTAGTCAGTCAATCCTGAGATGATTTTGATAAGTCTGCGTGTTGTTGCAACAGTGGAGAATGGACAGTGCTCAGTTTTAGAGTTCAGGGTGCAATACAGTTTACTATAATCCATTATATGACAGTTCATGTAAAAATTTAGATTTTTTTTTTTATTACTTCAGTAGGTATGTACTTGAGTGTGCAAATTTGAAGTACAGGTGATTTTGAGTCTTGCATTATGGAGTTGTTTTTTTTTAATTTCTCATATGTATCACAATATTTTTTTTCTTTTTTAAGTTTTCATGTTTCTGGTTTCAAATTCAAAGGCAGAGTTTGAGAATAATTTAGTAGTAGTCTGATTTGGGTTTTTTTTTTTGAAGTAATGAATACCACAGGCTTCAACTGCAACTTTTTGGAAATGCTGTTTTCCCATGTGTTTATTTAATTCACCAGATTCATCAATAAGCGTCTTTGTTTTTTTTTTTCTTTGTTTTCTTTTTACTGTTCATAGGTTCTCCCTGTGAAATTCCTTTTGAGCCCACAAATGGAGATTTTACATGCACATCAGATGAAAAAGGTGTTAATTGCACCTTGCGCTGTGCAGAGGGTTACAGCTTTTCAGAAGGATCAAATGAAAACTACTACTGTGCATATGAGGATGGTGTCTGGAAGCCACCTTATTCTCCAGAGTGGCCTGACTGCTCTTGTAAGTCTAACTGTTGTTATTTTTAGCCTGTGTTTTGTGAAATGGATCTGCATCTTATCAAGCAATGTGTTTAATGCTGAAGTAAGTGAAAATATTTTAGAAATTACAATTGTAATATGATATAATGATATGTATAATGATAATGATAAAGCTGTATAATGATAACTAATCTTCTCTGCTTCCAAATTGTTACAAGCATTGAAAATGAATGCATGGAAGTCCCTAAACGTATTATTACTTCTGAAGATTTCTAAAATACAAAAATAGTCGATTTGTATCCTGGAAAGCACAACAAAGATGGCAAAGCAGACAAGTCTTATCAATAGTTTGTCTGCGAACACTAACAGTGCCTTTTCAACGGGAATTTCAACAGTATTTGGAAATTAGCAGTGCAAATGTATTTGTAAAATCAGTGCATGCTGTAATTACATGCATACTTACCACCAAATCAGAAGCTTATATGTCTATTCTTTGAGAGGAACACATACAAAACTTTAGTTATGAACTGTCTCAGCTTCAGTGACATTCTAAAAATAAGTATATGAGATCTAGATATGAAGTTAGACTTGGCATCACGTTGCATCCACTTCAATCAGAACGGATTCTTTGGTTCCAGCAAATAGCAGTGTTTCAGCTGTGAGCAAATGGAAGTTATGTTTCATAGCTATTTATCAACTGAGATGCATAACGTGGACACTTAGGAGCTTTGCTCCTTTTTTCATATTTAGCCTTACAGCATTAGTAATAGTTCTTTCAATATTTTTTTTCTCTCTCTCTATAGAAATAAGAGTGCAGTTTAGGATTTTGACAGCTCACAAGTTTTTCCATTAAGAAAATGCTGAAATAGCTGTATGCCATTTTTCTTTAAAATCTTACGGCTTTCCCATTAAGCCATTGTGGAAATTTGATGCCTGACAAGGGGAAATTAGTGTATTTTCATATTTGTCTGCATTGGCTGAGATGTGTATGATACATTTTAGGGAAACAGTCATGTAGTCATGTTTTCATGTATATATACTGTTAATTTGAGTTGCTGATTTGAAGATAGTGCTTCTTAGCTTAGTATATTCCAGTTTTAGCCAGTCCTCTGAAACTATTGTGCTGACCAATAAAAAATCTGCTCCAACGTTTTTCAGTAAATCGTTTTGCAAATCATGGGTTCAAATCCTTTGAGATGCTCTACAAAGCAACACGATGTGATGACAACAGTCTTCTAAATGGCTTTTCTGATGCCTTCCAGAGTGCACTTGGTAAAATGGTAGGTTAGTAAACACTACTTCCTTGTACATACTTTTATTAAAAAATACAATTTCTTGTTGCTTTTCCCAGCTAACTAATTTCAAACATGGAAAATACAGTGGCGACTTGGAAATGAAATCTGTGCTGTTTCAGAAGATGATGAGTCTCCTTTAAAAATAAAGAGGATGCACTGCCATTTTAATGTAACTCAGTTGAGACTTCAATGTGAAGTTATTTAGGACAGAATTTATAGAAGTGTCTGTGTAGTTTATGGACCTCATACACAATAGATTTTCAGCTGGATTCTAAAGAGAATATGTGCATTTTGAAAAACCCACTAAACTGTCCCCTAACCTCAGTGTTCTTTGTGAAAGTGATAATAAAATATCCTCATTTTATACATAATATGTATAGCATATATTTAGGTAATACAAATGGATATAAATGTATAGAGATAGATAGAATCCACGTTTTGTGCCCAAGTCTGGGCACTTAAGTGTTAGTGACTTAAATAATTTGCTCAGGTTTACTTTAGTTTCTGAATTCTAACTCTTATTAGTAAGAACTACATAGTGATGAATTTGAAGGGGTAGCATGTTTCTTCTCTGCAGTGTCTCTTGCTTTCCACTTCAAAGTTACAATTCTCCCTCTGCAAAGCAGAAGCAGCAGGCCTTTGAGCTACGGTCTAAGGAGCTGATGTCTGGGCCTAGCATGATAGCATTGTTCTAGAAAACAACACTGGACAGTTACAGTTTTTTTGCAAGCCACGGCCCGAATGCTAAAAGCTTCGCTACTAACTAAAAAGCATTATTAGCACATCCAGCTAATGGGCAGACTCCTGCAACTTTGGAATTCCTGGCAGTAACCCTGGTCAAAAGGCTCAAGGCTTAAATGAAACTTCTGATAATCTTATACACTTAGACCTGAATATTTGTTACTCTCTTGCCTTACCTCAGGTTTGTTCTCTTCCAGTAGAAAAATTTGTTAAGTTTTAGAAGGGTGACAAATCAGCAGGAGCCATCTTTCCCATGGAAAACAATATACAGAAAAAAATAAATAAATAAATAAATAAAAGCAATCCCAAAACACACACTAGAGCCCAGCTTGCTTGAAATCATTCTGGAAAAAAGCAAGAAAGAGAGATTTTATCAAGAACAATGTATTCATCTGTTCTTATTTAATGTCCATTGCCTTTGTGGAGAGAGGAAACTCTACAGAAACCTCTCCAGTATTGTGAATTTTCTATGCTGTGGTTTCCAGCTATATCACAGTGAAAACTCAGCAATTAGAAAGAGTAGGCCTTAACTACTGTAACTTCCCACCAGCGGAACTCTTCAACACTGTGATGGGCAGCCGTATTTCTCACCACTGAATGGTTTACTTAACCAGAAATGCTTCTTCACTTTATAGTATGTTTCAGGATGAGCTTTTCCAAGGTTTTGAAATAATTTTTGAGTTATGGCCTTCAGTTTGTGGTGCAGTATGCAACTACTGGTTTCCCAGACCAGGAAGAAAGAAAAGGAAATTAAGTAAATCACATGCAGGCATCCAGAGCTTACATCAGTTTTCCTGAGCAACTACTTTTATATCCTATTTGACGGACTGTCTTCCACAGATGATTTTCTCTGTCTTCTGAGATCTCTTGGAGATATACATTGAGTACCTTCCCACAGGCAAGGAGAGATGGATATGAAGAAATAAGGTTTGAAAGCTAGAAGCAAAGTGATGGCATTATTGCAAACCAGACAGAGTTACAAATTACATCAGCTGAAAAACCTGTAGGTGTTTTCAAACCTGTGAGCACATGCCGTTTTTGAGAAGAAGAAACAAGCCTGAACTTTCTGCTGGATTTTGGGGTTACCTATGCAAGAGTGGTTAACACCATGGACATAGACAATCACAGAATCATAGAGTATCCCATGTTGGAAGGGACCCACAAGGATCATCAGCTCCAACAATTTCACTTATAAAATAGACCTTTTACCAAAAAGAAAAAAAAATGTATGCCTCCAGTTTACATTATAGAACATACTTCTTTCAGCAGACCTTGACAGTATTGTAAGAGACATTAAAGGAGATGTGTAGTGTCAGAGAAAGGGCAAGACCAGTGCTTTATATTGTAACAAAGTTTCTTTACGTTGGGGATGAGCTATGTGATTTTATTTTTTAACATTATTATTCTTTATATTGGAAGGTCCCATCGTTCTGTAATGATGTTGATGATGTTGACTGCAGATTGGAAGAGCAGACACAGAAACATTGCTTGGAATACAATTACGATTACGAAAATGGATTTGCCATTGGTAATTACCATTGCATAGGTTGTTAGCCATTCAGGCTTCACGCAGTATAATTTATTTTGTTCTGAAATACTGCAGTGTGTTGTGTGGAATATCTAATGAAAATAATTGAAATAATTGAAATAATGAAAATATTAAGTGATTAAGCAATAGACTTTCTTATGGAATTATGTGCTCTCTGTTTGCAGTACTGCTTTCTATTCTTTCTTTTCTTTTTTTTCTGGGAAGGAAAAGTTTACTGAGATGCCTCATGATAGGAAGAAAAGCATGTACATACATGCACATGCAGAATGCCACAACCTTGCTTGGTTAACCTGGAAGAAAGCAATTTTTTTTAAAACATACAACAGTTTCAAACCAAAAAAAAAAAAAAAAAAAAAAAAAAAACAACACAACAGGGATTCTAGGGATTGTTAAGAGAATGAGGACCCTTTTCATCCTTCATGCTGCTTCCAGTCAACACAGAGCCCTCAGAGTGTACAGTCAAAGCATAAATTTGCAAGTTAGCTGTGAAATAACTTCCCATAAGCAAGGGGAGCTTTTTGCAGGATGACTGTAGGTATGCTGGTGTGCAGCCTTACTCCTTGCTCCCACTTTACTTTTTGCCAAGTTGTCATTTTCATTCCAATCCCACACAGGTTAGCATCCATGTTTCACTTGGCTTTTCTGAGTCCCTTGGGACTACTTAGAGCATAAAGGCTAAAAGCTGATAGTGAGCTAACGTCATCTTAGCATGAGGCATTTTGGCAGATCAACGTCAGAATACTTAGTCTTTTACAGGACTGTGGCTTTTTTGTTAAGTTCATAGTCGGATTACTCTGGTACAGCTTCCTGCTTACTCTCACCTTTTCGACATGCTTCACTCAGTTTGAGAGGACATTTGTTTGTAATCAGACGCAGGGAACTCAGGGCTCAATTTGCAGTTGTCATCAGGGAAAAAGCTGTTGACAGCTAGAACTAATTTGTAAAGTCACTTGGTGGAAACAGTATTATGGAAATGAGGTATAGGCTCCTATTCTCTTCTGGTCAAGTCAGTCTCTTTTCAGAATAACCTTGATACTGTTTTTCTGATGTTTCTCATGATTCTACACTGGGGAGACTGGGGAGCAGAGCTCTCCTCCAGTCAAAAGAGACAACAGTTTAGAAGATCTGTTATTGAGTAATCACATAGTATTAACTTGCCTTAGTTTTCACTGTATATTAAGCATAATCTAGATGATTTACCTGGTAACTGGCAAAATGTTTTTATACCTTCGTGTGTTTTCAGAAAGAGCTAGATTAATGAAAGAGACTATGTACCTCTAATTCTAGTCATGAATAGTCAAATTACTTACAGATCAAGATAGTTGAAATCATGTTCTAGATGAGGATGGTGAATTTAAACCACTGTGTGTAACAGGAAATATCTGTCTTGGGTGACAGAACACATAGGGTGATGCTATCAGCCTTTTCTGAGAAGGCGGACAATGGTACAACTTTTTTAGGAGTTGTGAGAAAGAGATGTAATGGAGACATCCTGATAAGGGCATGCTAGCTGTAATTGAGCAGTAAGAGAGAGAGAGCAATGAAGAATACTTTAACATGTGGCTGGCAGGTGAGGAGACTGAGAGGAAGAGAATTGCTGTTTTTATCAGTAATTTCTTTTATAACTTTTATAGCAGAATTTCTGTAAGGCTTTGACTAAATACATGGATTTCAGGATCTCTGTGGTATCAAGAGTGAAACTTTTTTCTTTAGTCGGAATCATGGTACAGTAGGCACTTGTGCAGAGGCAAAGATAGCATACATTGTCTAGAGATTCAGACAGGCCCCATTCTATTGGGGATGTACTTTAGAAATACATATAAATATGACAGGCACTTATTTTCCACATTTTCTCCTGGCAGGAGCTGCTGGCTGGGGAGCAGCAAACCAGCTGGGTTATTCCTATGATGATTTCATTGACACGGTGCAGGAAGAAGACCTATCCAAGCATCTCTCTGCTTCTGCACAGGCAGCACCTACTCGAGTCAAAAGACATAAGAAACTGAATGTTCCAATGACTGACCACAAAATCAAGTTAATATTTAACATCACAGGTAAGAGAAGTAAAATATATTCCTTCTCTTGTAAATTCTTTTTTCAAAATTCTTGTTTGTAACACATACAGAGAAACTTCAACTTAAGTTCACAAAGCCTGCTGGAGATGCAGATGACATTTTTCCAGAGACATTCAGAGCCCCATTTTGTACATGCCTGCTTTCCGCTTTGAATTGGCAAGCTTGAATGCTGCACTCTTAGTACACTTCAGAGTACAATGGAAGTGCTGACTGTAAAGTGTGTGTGCTTGTTGTGTTCTCTGTTTAAATCCCAGCTAGCGTGCCACTGCCTGATGAAAGGAATGATACACTGGAACTGGAAAACCAGCAGCGGCTTCTTAAAACTCTAGAGACCATAACAAACAGGCTGAACAGGACCCTCAATAAGGAACCCATGTATTCCTTTCAGTTTGCATCCGAGCTGATTGTAGCTGACAGCAACTCGCTGGAGACGGAGAAGGCCTTCCTCTTCTGCAGGCCTGGTTCTGTACTGAAGGGGAGAATGTGTGGTAAGCCAGAGGACTTGCTCCTTATACGTGTTTAGAGTCCTTTTGAAAAGCAAGGTTTTAGAGGATACTTGAGAAGGTAATGGTTTGACACAGTCCAATGCTTGTGATCTCCCAGAACAATAAACTGCAAAGATGCTTTGCGCAGTTTGACTTCCAGGGGATGTTTATGTTTCTAACCAAGACTTGTGGAAAAAGAATGTTTTTGTACCCAGGATTCCACTCCCATGGGGAAATCAGGTATATCCACACAGTTGGTGATACTCAGGAAAATAGTGCTTGATATGCAGTCTTTTAACCCTACTTGTTAGTCTTGTGGATGAGGAGATAGGGAGATGGATGCTGTTTCTGTTCTTCACTGTTACACAGTGAAGTCTTCACGATGCTCGAGACAGACACCACATGCAAGCCTATTTATTGAGGAACAGAGTCACATTTCATATAAACAGGATTTGATTAAATGGGAGCTCCAGGAGCAAGACAAGTATGTATAATTGCGCATTCTGAGGGGAACCTTGTGTTTACAACATTACAGTCAACTGCCCTTTGGGTACCTATTACTCCCTGGAGCATCACGCCTGTGAAAGCTGCTGGACTGGATCCTATCAAGATGAGGAAGGGCAGCTGGAATGCAAAAGTTGTCCGTCTGGTAGCTATACTGAGTATCTACACTCCAGGAGCATCTCAGAATGCAAAGGTGAGAACTTTGTCTTCTTCAGAAAGCCACTTCTGCATGCCTGCTCCTCACTACAGGAATGCTGGGATTAAATTAATCTGTGAAATGAAAAGCAGTCCTAATCGCCCATTGATGCTTGTGTAATGAAAAAAGCATATGTGGTATGCAGAATGCCCTGGCAGATGTTTTAAGTGCAGGAAGAGCTGCCTCTAAGGTTTTGTTTCATTTTCTTCTCTCTTCTGTGAAATTATGAGCCCATTTTGCATGGACTAGTATACTTAAAATGATGCCATTCTTGTTTTTGCCAGCCCCCCTCATACTATGGTGATGGAAGATTAAATTTTTGCATCCCACACTACAGTGCTCTGGCATTAAGCATCTTGGCACCCCTAACTCTTTGCAACCAACTTGTTCTCAAAAATAAGTTACGAATTTTGTCACCTGTTTATTGTTTTGTCATTAGTTTTGCTCATTAAAAATGAGTAATTGAGTTGTAATAAATCATGTGTGAAGGTGGTTGGTTAGTAATTCATGAACACACTAACAGTAACTTACCGCAATTTTTGTTTGTTTGTTTTTTCTTTGTACCCATGAAGCCCTTCAGAGTAGAGGAAACTCTAGAAATAAAAAGTATAACAAGTCTGTGATGTGTACTGTGATTTCAATATCATTTCCAGAGGTTAGGAGCCATGTTCCCTGTTGGACATCACTTAGTCTTTATGAATTCTTCTACTTTACAGCTCAGTGCAAGCAGGGCACATATTCATCTAATGGTCTTGAGACCTGTGAAACATGTCCACTTGGCACATATCAGCCAGCATTTGGATCCAGGAACTGCATCTCTTGCCCAGAAGATACAACAACAGTAAAAAGAGGCGCAGTAGATGACTCAGCTTGTGGAGGTGTGTAACTAATGGGGCTGTAAAATTTCTAAAACAAAATTAAAAAAAAAATGCTGTTTGAACATCAGCTAATGTAATCCAACTCATCAGCCTGAGATATAAGTCAGCTTTTGTTTAAATGTGGATCAGCAGCATTTCCCAGCAAAATCTCAGGCTGTTTCCTGATACTCTGTTTGTTTGAATTGCCCTCCTTCTAATTCCCAAGATGGATTCTTATCTAAAGATGAATAAAGTGAATTCACTGAAAGTTAACTATATGAAAATAAATAAAACCTTTTTTCTTACAGAAGAGAAAGGGAATGACAGGATATATGTCACTATTACTTCAGGAATAGTTTCCACAGTTTCTGTACAAAATCTCCATATTTTGACAGAGTTTGTGTCATTTACTTTTTGAAGAAATTATCCACAACTGTCTTTGGAAAGCTTTTTTTTCAGAAAGAGCCACAGAAGCAATAGTCTGCATGGATTAATGGTACAAAAAAGGCTTGTCTTGTCCTTATTCCTTCTTCAAGAAAAATAAAACAAACAAGGTGTGAGAGAGAAAAGGAAGTCGCTTTTGAAAGTTGTCTCCACAGCAGCATAAACAATAAAAAGAAATACTTTCGAGATATTTTTGTAGTCCTTTGAGAACCACATTTCACCTAATAGCACAGTTAAGTCAGCTTCTTTTAGGGTTGTTAATTACCAGTAGGTTTCACCCTACTATTTGAAGTTTATAAAGCAACTGTGAGGGAAGAAAAGAAAATGTGGGAGAAGTGATCACTCTGAAAAATGTCCTCTTTCTCTTGCAGTACCGTGTCCTGCAGGAGAGTTTTCTCGCACAGGTTTGACACCTTGCTACCCTTGTCCCAGAGACTACTATCAGCCGGACCCAGGAAAGTCCTACTGCTTGTCTTGCCCCTTTTATGGAACAACAACCATCATCGGTGCCAGATCCATCACAGATTGTTCAAGTAAGCCAAACTATCTCTCCTGAAGAAAGTTAATAAAGGGAACCTCTAAAGGGTGGCCAGCACTAAACTTAACAGAAAACCTCCTGTTCACTCTCAGAACAAATGCAGAACTCTCCTTTCAAGCAGTGACATTCCCTTTTATTTTTGCTAACTGGTGTTGTCTCTATGCTAAATGGAAGGAGTAACTCTAATATTTACCAATGCTTATTAACAGTGTATAAATATAGAGAGTATGTTGTGTGTGTATACATATATATACCCTTGTATACATGTGTGTACATGAATGTATATATATACACACAACGTATGTATGTGTACAGACTGTATATATATACACAAAAAAAGTATGTATGTGTCTGTGTATGCATGTATAAATACACATAAAATATGGGTACAAACACATATATATTTAAAATCCTATGTGGTTACTGTAAATACTGTTTTTTTTCCTATAAATCCACTTTTTTCAGCATCTCTTTAGATTAGTTGTTAAAATGTGATTGTGATGCCCTCATAGAATAGGGACCTCACCATACAGAATTATTGACAACATTTTCATATTTTTCCTCTTTAGGTTTTGGCTCTACTTTCTCAGCTGCTGAAGAAAGTGTGATGATGATACCAGCTTCTCCAGAAAATATCAGCAAGCAGTACAAAGTTAGCAGTCAGGCAAGGACAAGATATATTTACTAATATTACCTCTAATGAAAGAAAATGAGTGCCTTATGCCAGCAGTAAATGACTAAGGTTTTTTAAAATGTACTTGTAATGCTGACTATACTTCCTGAACAGATGACAGTGATAGTCATGAGGAGAACCCTCAAACTCTCTTCATGATCATAGATGTTCAGCTGAGTAACAGTGGCTGCATCAGCTATTGACAATCTTAAATTGCGGACTTGAAGTCTTCACCTGATGCATGAAATAATTTGTCATAATTATAAAAGACATACAAACTCTATGGAGGAGGCTCACCCAATCCATAAAAAGCAGGTTGACTGTGATCAGTCATTTGATGGCTTCCATTTGGTGGATTCCAGAAGATGCCAGCAGGCATCCAACTTCCAGTTGTAAAATCATTGTTTTGCTTATTACAATATAGATACACTTGACAAGAGGCAAGCAGAGTTTTCTTCTGCTCTGGGTACCCACTCTGGAGTATGGGCAAGTCCTCACATGATAGAAACTTCTCTAGTAACAGTATTTGCCATAGATGCTGCCTCACTGGTACCATCTCCCCCCACCCAATCTGTAACTGAGACAAGGCTTCTTTGTATGAATATGAAGTTAAGATATTTTGTTACTGGAGCAAAGTTGATGATAAGTTTGACCTGAACCATTATTTAACATATGGACAGGTGACAGACTGATCTCCCATGACTGTAGTTGACTATTTGCTCAAGGACTTCACTTATTTCGGATTTGCTACCTGAGAAAGCATAACGCCATACAGTGAAGTCCCCCACCAGTTCATCTAATGACCAGTAGCAGGAAGTGATTAGCCTGTGTAAAAGGATGCAAAGCAGAGAATTCTAATATAAAACAATATAAAAAATATAAAACACAGCATAGCATAAAACATGACCTCTCAATCATAGCTCAGAAAGCTCTAGAGGAAGAGCTGCAATGATCATATGCTGGTAATTAAAAGGTCATTTAAAAATAGTCATTCATACTGCTGCTGTTCTTCACTAGAAATAAGAATTATTGGCATGCAGAGGAGACAAAGAGGAAGCCCTAAAAGTTAATGCCGGTCATGTTTTTGTTCCCAGTTTTCCGAAGTGACTATAGAGTGTGCAGTTTAAAATGAGAGTATTTTGTCCCACGGGTATTTCTACATTTACTGTAATTGTGTTGTTCTTGCTTGTGGCAGGTGTTTCATGAGTGTTTCCTGGAACCGTGCCGTAACAGTGGGACATGTAAACAGTTGGGAACTGGATATATTTGCATATGCCCTCTTGGATATACAGGTAAAAAGTCTGAAAAGCAGGTGGAGAAGCTAACATGGCTCTATGCCTTTAACATGATCAAACATAAAGGAGCAGAACATTTCTGTGCAAGAGTATAGCCTAACTAATTGGAATATCCATCACAGATTTCCCGTACGTAACCATTTAAAAAAAAAAAAAAGAAATAACTCCTTGTGTTCTTGATGAATTATACAGGTTTTGACAAAAAGGAATTTTGAGTGGGGTTTTATTTAACGGTGATTACGTTAAGTTCCAAGGACTTGAGCAAGAGTGCATTGGGCAACATTTTGTGGATTTCTAATCTTTTTCTTGGTCGTATTTATGATTAGCAAAAAACAGAAATTTGCACTTTAAACAGCTAATTCCACCAGATATTCCTTTACTCTTCCCTGTCAGCTTCATAACTGCTCCAAAACAAGCAGACAACTTATTATCAAAAAGTCGCTGGTCTGTGTTATTTGAAACAGAATATTAAGTACTACCATCTGGAACTGATCAGACTGTTGTCTGATACACTTCATACCTTTTTAACAGCATTTAGTTTCAGGTCTGCGTTAAAACACTACTAGACATCCGGGTTTTATTTAGGTTTCATACTCAATTGATCAGTCATGTTTTGCTACATTAAGTAGTCATGACTTTTGTGTTTCTGAACAATTACATGTTTTGTTTCCGTGTTCTCAGCCCTTTATTTTTCATTCTAGGCTTGAAATGTGAAACAGAAATGGATGAATGTAAATCATCTCCTTGTCAGAACAATGGATTGTGTAAAGATGGCGTTGGGACCTTTGTTTGCCATTGCAAACCAGGCTATTCTGGTAATTTAATTGTTTCTTCTTCAGAAAGGCATTGTTTTTGTGCTACGTAGATAAAACACAAGGGCTGTGCTACTTATTTCACTGAAATTCATGGAATTTTAACAGGAAAGCCATCTGATCTACAGGCCAGAGGGAAGTTCCACTGTATGTGAATAGTTTTTTAAATAAAAAGACAGTCTCTGTGAGCATGTGTGCACGTGTGCTTCTGTTCTGTGATATTACTTTTCTGGAAAAAAAGAGAATGAAGATTAGGGAACTAGTAAATACTCACAGGAAAAATGCTTGTGGTACTGAATATGACCTGATCAGACAGAGCATTTATGGAGTTGCTTTACTGCATCCCTGTGAGTTAGAGAATACTTTCTTCGCTTAGTTCTTTCAGTAGTCTTTTTAACTGTCACATGCATACATGTTGTAGATGTTGAAATATATGGGTAACTGACATGCTTAAGTACTTTGCCAAAACAGTACTATATTTCTAAATGTTGAAGTAAACTGTTGAGGACATCCTTTTGTGAGCAGCTTTTTTAAAAAGGCCTGATGTTTTCCATCAGAAATTTACTCCATTATGTTTTTTTCTACACATTTATTGGCACTTGTTGATTGTTTTTAAAACTTCATGAAGACAAACCATGGACTTACCACATTTCACATCCCAGCAGCTATATAATGCAGCTATGTAATGCAGATGATCTCTGTGTATGTTTGAAGCAGTGCAGTCAAACATGGAGTTTATCACCCGATCTCAGCAGCCTTTTATTATGCAAGAGTTACAGTGCAGCTCTGCCTTTCATACTCAGTCACCACACCATGCAGACCTTGACTACGTGTTGATCATGCCTTTTCACTCTTGCTGTTTGAAGGTCTCCTGTGTGAGGAAGACATAAATGAATGTAGCTCCAGTCCATGCTTGAATGGAGCCCGCTGTGTTGATGACAAGAATGGTTACCACTGCACTTGTGCAAAAGGGTTCACAGGTACACCATTTTTTGTGAAAGCCAGATTTCACTCTTTCTGACCCCCAGAAATATCTTCCTACCCTGGCCAAAGTATTTCAACCTTGTTGCTGTATGTTATGTATATGGTTTGTTGATGTGGGTGTATTAGCTTCTCTAGATCCATGTAATTTCTTAATGTCCTTGCAGTGCGACTCTGTGGTTTCAGTAAATCTGCCAGGTGATTGGTCTTCTTTACCATTAACTTACTGTATGGTGTTGAGGAAACAATAATGCAACTTACATGGGTTGCATGAACTGTTAAAAGTATATGAACTGTTAATTTTAATTTCATTTTTAAAAACTTTCATTTTATTTTTACAGTGGACTAAATGGTCTATATTAAAACTACTTCCAGTCCCTATGTTCTACTGCTTTCATAGATTTCTCTAGCAACCAGATTTATCAGGCGATTGTCATGTTGCCAAAGAACTGCACTATAAAATCACATGCAGTTTCTTCATTCTTACGTGCTTGCAACATGGAGCTCTCTCATGAGAGCTGTGGTTCCAGCTTAATGTTTCTTGTAGTAGCTTTTCATTAGTTGATCAGAATAATTACTATGATGATTTCCTTATTCAGCACAAATTACTCACACAGTGAGCAATATCCATTTAGGTTCCCAACATTAATGTTAATGTCTACAAATGCAAAGATGCTTCCTGTAACCCTTCTTTGCCTGCTTTACCTCAGTTAATGGAGTAAAACCCAATCCTGCTTAGCTCCCGTGGTGTCTGCTGTTTCCCAGAAAACAGGCAGCAGTCCTTAGAAACCAGGGAGGGGCCAGTGATCTTTTTCAGGTTAAATCAAACTGGAGCTGTTACTTTATTCTTTTCTTCTCAGGTGCTCACTGTGAACATGAGGTCAACGAATGCCTTTCAAACCCGTGTCTTAATAGAGCTATTTGTGAAGATCGAGTTGGCAGTTTCTACTGCAAGTGCCTCCCGGGTTTTACTGGTGTCTTGTGTGAAAGAAACATCGATGAGTGTCTCAGCAGACCCTGTAGGAATGGGGCTACGTGCAGAGATGGTATCAACAGCTTCAGGTGAAAAATATATGATTGATATGATCGTCAGTGTGGAAAGTCAGATCTATCATGGTGTTTTGGACTTGTTAGATTTCAGCAGGGGATTTGGCAGTTTGATCAACTAAAAGGAGATTTTAAAAGGGGAAAAAAAAAATCCTAGTGTCCCTACCCTTTAATTCCAAGGAAGGCAGCAAAGAAAATAGGCAGTTCGATGTATAAGCATGCTGGGATCATAATATGGTAGAGTGTGAAAGCTTCATTGTGGTTTAACCCTGAGCAGCAGCTAAGCCCACTGTAACTGCTTGCTCACTTCCCCTCAGTGGGATAGAGAAGAAAGTAAGAAAGGAAGAAGTGCAAAAACCCATGGCTTAAGATAAAGACAATTTGATAGGTAAAGCAAAAGCTGCAAGAGCAAACAAAGCAATGTAAGGAGTCCATTCACTGCTTCCCATTGTCAGGCAGATGTTCAGCCAGTTCCACAAAAGCAGGGCTTCATCCCACATGAAGGTTTATTGGGAAGACAAAAACCATAACTATGAACATCCTGTGCTTCCTCCTTCTTTCCCCACAGTTTTATTGTCCCACATGATGCCACATGCTGAGGGACATCCCTGGGGCCAGCTGTCCTGGATGTGTGCCCTCCAGGCTCCTTGTGCACCCCCAGCCTCCTCACTGGTGGGACAGCACGAGAAGCTGGAAAGCTCTTGGCCCTGTAGTTGCACTGTAGTTGCACTGCTCTGCATCTACTAAACCTCAGTGTGCTGTCAGCATGGTTCTCATCCTAAATCTGAAACACAGCACAATACCAGGTAATAGGAAGAAAATCAGCTCTATTTCAGCCAAAACCAGAACAGGTGTGAATATTGTTATTCCCCCAAAAAATCCACTTTCCCAAACCTCAAGCACTTGTCTTTCTTTCCACTAGAATAGGTACCTGTATTATCTGGTAATACTACTTCTCTGGAGCCTGAACGAAAGGGAGAGATACACATGCTAGGAATAAAGAGGTTAAAATATTAACACATTAACACTGATAGAATCTTCCAAATACTTCTGTATGCTTTAGGGTATCTGAGCTTAGATCAGAAGTTATGAATACCAATAAGAAAGTTGTATCCTGGATCACTCTAGAGACAGCTGTTGCTATCTGGGTTTAACAAGTCTTTCCCTCCCTGAAGTCCCAGAAGTTTTGGTGCCTTTCAGATATCTTGGTTTTCCATCAGTGTAAGTAGTTCTGTGCCTGCAAAGTCAAATGCCTCTTATCTGTAATTCTACAGACTCTAGAAGGCGTGCTTCACTCATAGGAATTCAATGACTGCATCCCCCAATTTCATATGAAGAAATGCAGACACTGTATTTAAATATTGTATTGTCCCTTTTAAGAGATAAATTGGTGCAGTCTAATCTGCTTGTAGCATACTAGCATATTTAAAAGGAACAACCAAAACAAAACTCTGCTAATTCTGCAATATCTCTTCTGCTGATTTTTCAGTATATGCCATTCCCATTGGCAGACCTGGCCTCATGGCCATTATTTTTTTTTTTTATAATTACAGCAGGAACATTTGAAGTGTGCTTTACTTGTCTTCCACAGGTGTCTGTGTGTGACAGGGTACACAGGACCAAACTGTGAAGTGAACATCAATGACTGTGACTCCAGTCCCTGCTTAAACCAAGCCACCTGTGTGGATGCCTTGAACTCGTACGTTTGTAAATGTCCCCCTGGCTTTACAGGCAGCAGGTGTGAAACAGGTACACAGGACCAAGTGTCAGAAAAAGGTGGCTTGACTAAGTCTCTGGGCAAGATTTGCACTGACTAAACTGATTTCATACAGCTTTCCCAGAAAGCAGATAGGGTGGTGGGACTCTGAAAGGCTGAGTGGAACCTGTGTGACTGCAGTATTAATAAATGTAATTGCACACAAGTAACACCATGTGTGCTAAGTCATATCTATATGAATTTCTCTTTTCTAAGGCCAAGGTCTACCATTTTGCAACCTAGTTGGTCTGTCAAATGTAATTTGTGTTTGCTCTGTGTGTTTTAGTTAACTAGCTCTTTGTGTTTCTTGTATTTTATGTAAGACTTTGCATCACAGAGCTAGAGATTAGGGACTGGTAGGCTCAGTTTTAGAAGTTCCCTGCAGTCAGCCAAAATGGATAACACCAGGTGCAATTTCCACATGGTTATTGGTGGAGTTACACTACACAACCACAAGGCTCAACTCCATTTGTCTTTGAGTTGAACAATTAAAATTGTACTGTTACACTAGTTGGTGACTCTTTTAACAGAAGTTGAGGGACTGTGTTGGTTTTACAGAGACAGTAGAGGACAATACAGGTCTTTCAGACAACATCCTATGTTCGAGTTTAAATAGCACCCAGACTTCAGGAGAGCTCCAGTTGGTATATTTTCATGTAATATTCTGATAACACATACCACTCCGCATTGACTGTGAGCAGCACAGAATTGTTCTAAATCAGTGTTTCAGTTCAGAACAACAGAAATCTCTCTATATATATACATATATATATATATATTGACTCCTCTAGGTGAAGTGGCACCAGCTGATCACCCCTTTGGGTTGCTGGATGGCAGATGGGTATGTCAGTTCATTGGCAGATGGCTGAAAAGCATATCCAGTGCTGTGCAGGGTTCATGTTTGTTCTTTTTTGTATTATCAGCTTCATTTTCAATTGTGTTTCTTCAAATCCTTTCCTCTTTTTAGCCTTGGAAAGCTCAGTATTCTGGCTGATGCTAAACTGCTGTACATTCTTTCTAGTTCTGACCAATTTAAAGGGAATAATTTTTGTAGATGTGTTCATTTTATTACATTTGGTTAGAATCAATTCAATACTGTCTCTGTGTTTTCAGGAACGGAGCTCTGAAAGCTGTTTGTCTTTGTTGCAGAACAGTCCTCTGGTTTCAATCTTGATTTTGAAGTCTCTGGTATCTATGGGTATGTCATTCTTGATGGTGTTTTCCCATCACTTGGTGACATCACCTGTACATTCTGGATGAAATCCACTGACACCACCAACTATGGGACTCCCATTTCTTACGCAGTGGAGAACGGAAGTGATAATGCATTTCTTCTGACTGACTACAATGGGTAAATCACAATTCTGCTTTTCTGTGGCTTAAAAATGTCTTGGAACTGATTTAAAAAAAAAAAATCAAAGAAAAGAAACACAGGCCAAAAGTCTGAATATCAGCTTTGCCTGTCTTGGAATAGGAAAACTTGCATCCAAAATCTGGATGTAACTGGAGTTTCCCTATTGTTTTGATTTCTCCTTGCTTTGTTGCCAAGTAGAAGAGTAATTGCAAGAAATCAGTGAAGTTTAAGAAGCAGAATATTTTTGTCTGGACTACATTTACATCATATTTAAATGACACATTGAAACGATGATTGGATAAAATTGAAGCTTAGCATTCAGGGTACTTGCAGTGTGATGCCAAAAGCAGAGATTGACTCAAGAGACAACTTTAGGAATCCGCTACGCAGGCATGACTTGAATCTTCACATTTTGGAACAGGAACACATTACTTTATTTCATTTTATTTTGCATGTGATAGTGGTAAATTCCAAGTTCTCTTAGAAAGTACAATTATTTCAAGACAGATTTCTTGTGAGATGAAGACAAAGTTACCTTGTTTAGCAAATAACATTTCTTTGAGTCATGCGGGACTAGCCATGCTCTTCAATTTGCTTCATGCAATTGAGTCTGCTTTCAACTTGCTTCCACGCAGCTGGGTTCTTTACATAAATGGGAAAGAGAAGATCACAGACTGTCCTGCAGTGAATGATGGTAACTGGCATCACATTGCGGTCACATGGACATGCACGGATGGGGCATGGAGAGTGTACATTGATGGAAAGCTGTCTGATGGAGGCACTGGGCTCTCTGTCGGCTTAAAAATTCCTGGTATGATTTATTTATATTGCACCAAATCTGTTGCTTTTACTCTGTTTTTATTGCAGAATTTTCTGTACCCACAAACAAATGTTCTTGTGTTTTTAGAATGTTTTCAACATTTAGGCAGGGATCTTGTTTGCTGTTCTTGCTCATGAGGACAGTTCCCTCAGCCTTTCTGAGGGCCAAGTACAGATATCTAGGGTTAAGTAGTAGGTAGCTTGTTTTGGGGTTTTCGGAGTTTAGTCCACAAAGGAGCCTGTGTTCAACTGTTTTCGGAATGGCTTTGTGAGAATGTTTCTCACACAAGAAGGTTTACTGACATTTCTCTTAAAAATGTGTTCTCAGAATTGATCAGATTAACCTTTTCCCGTTACTCTTGGACATCTTTTTAAAGTTATGTTTGTACGTCTTCCTAACAGGATGGTTTTTGCTATTTCATTGTTTTCATTGTGGTCAGCAGTCTTCCCAGTAATATCAGAAGACATGAAAAGGAATACCTTCAGGATCAAAGAGCTGTGAAAGGCCTGATGTCAGACTGTTTTCAATAGTGTTTTCATACCACCACATTCAAAACTTAGAGTTTTTTAAAACTCCCTTATAAAAAAAAAAAAAAAAGACATTTTAGTCTGTGCACATTTTGCTTGTCCCTCTACTTGCCAATCACATTGGAGTTATCCTGGAGATATAACCCAACAAAGCATTAAGGCTCAGTTATATTTTGCTCTCCTGTGGCTTATGTAATATGCATCCACATAATCTGTGGTGTTGGTCAAGGAGAGAAAAATTTAATTTGTGTGGATGCCAGAATGCTGACTGTAATCAGCTGTGTGCTTCTGAGGGTTCGGAATCAAATTTGTTCTGCCTGACTTGCTAAGGTTTCTTTAAAGCAGGAAGTTCAAACTAGCACTGTGAAACATGCCCCACCTGCTCAAAATTGCATTTTCTGTTGCCCTGTAATACTCCTTACAGTGAATGCTGAGCTAGAAGCAGTCTCTTAGACCAATACTGTAAAAGTCTTACTAACATAGGGCAACAAAAGTTTTGTTTGGTTGTTTCATCTTCCTGTGGGGATTGCAGCCATAACGTGGTGTTTCCTAACACTGTTACAATTCTCTCTTGATTCTAGGTGGTGGTGCACTTGTACTGGGACAAGAGCAAGATCAGAAAGGAGAAGGCTTCAACCCAGCTGAATCTTTTGTGGGTTCTATCAGCCAGCTCAACATTTGGGACCATGTCCTGTCTCCACAGCAGGTAAGTTCCTACCTCAGTGTTTGAGCAGAGGAATCTAAGCATAGGATAGACATTTGAAAAGGCAGTCAGAGTTAGCCTACTGGATAGACCCCTGTCCCCACAGAATTCAGAGGTGACCAGATGAAGCTCTCTCTTAGTATAATGTGCTTAGCGTAATGAGTAACTTTAAGAGTAGGTATGGTAAAATCAACACTGAAGTAACCTACTATTTTGACTGAGCCTTTCTGTGTTAAGGGGCTTTGAAAGAGAAATACACTAAAGATATACACAAAAACTCGTAATCTTATTAGGAAAGGGAGAGACCTGATGAAAAGAGCTCAGGGCCTGTTTTACTGGTTTCAGTTCCCTCATCCTGCCGTGTGGAAAGGCACAGTAAATATTCAGAGAGGAAGCATCAGGATTTCAGTCAACACGTTAGACACCATGAAAAACCTGTTAGCTGTATAGTCCCAGGAAAAGTCCAAATATCAGTAGAACTGCATATTAGACTGCTTCTACTCAGGTACCAAAAATACAGGTTTGGAACTAAACCTACACATAATTAAAAAAACTGTGGAACAAAGGATGAGACTTTTTGACAAGTCTCAGTGCTCAATCATCCACAGAGTGAATATTTTGTCTTTAAATCCAGCTGGGATATCACTCTTCAATTTATTTATCTATTTCACTCTCCCAACCTAAATGATTCTATGATTCTATGATTCTGTCTCCTTGCTTACATCCCCATACCTCTCCAGGAGCTGCTGTTAGGTGTACCCCAAAACCTTCTCTGTCCCAGGCTGACCCAGCCCTCATCACACAGCCTCTTCTCACAGGTCAAATGTTCCAGCTTATCATGCTCTTGATGCCCTCCCCTGAATTTGCACCAGCTTGTCAATGTCTTCCTTGTACTGAGGAGCCCAAGATGTGATTCAGTACTCCAGATCTTGTCTAATAAGTGCTGAGGAGAGGGAATAATCCCTCCTTTGGCTTCCTGGCTGTGATCGTGTTCACATAGCCAGCTATGCTGTTGGTTCTCATTATTGCCAGGACACACAGCTGCTCCGTGCGTAGCTCACTGCCTGCCAGAATGCCTAGGGCCTTTTCCACAGAGGTGCTCCCTGTCCAGGCTTTTCCCAACATTCAGAGGGGGTCTTTGTCCTTCCCATTTGTTCTTGTTCAATTTCGCAAGGTCCACGTTGGCCCAGACCTCCAACCTGTAGAGGTCCCTGTGGATTCATCTCTGCCCTTGAGCATACTGACTACTATCTCTCGTTTGATTTTTGCAAATTTGATGAGAGTGTGCTCCGTCACCTCTTCCTGGTCATTAGTATTTCAGTCCCGAAGGTCAGAAATTGTGTATCTGTTGGTAACAGTTGAATATCAAAGACCAAGTTCAAAGTCAGAGGCATTTCATGGGGGAAGGGGCTCAATAATAAATAATGAGAAGAGCAGGAAGTAGAAAAGAAGCAAAGCAAAATCTTTGTTTACAGCATCCAAATGTCTTCTCTGTTTCTTTATGTTGTCTTCTTTTGTCTTTCTTTTTCTTTTGTCTTCTCTGGTTCTTTCCTTTTATTTACTACCTTGTCTTTCTGCTAGGTTCATAACTGCCCAGCGATCAACTACTACTACTCTTAGTCTTTGATGTCATCATGTGTTGCATTGCCAAACCAAATCTTTAGGGATTTTTGCACCAGCAGTTATGAAGATAATGAACCTACATATGATTTTACAGGATACACTTATGAAGAGTTTAAGTGGGGTTTTCTGAGTCTTTCTTGTTGTTCACCTCTGTTTAATGCTATTGACAGGCTAGGTAAAATTCCCATTTGCTTCAAAATGCAGTACAGCTATGGTGAGGTAGAAAATCCTGCCTGTCACTTGTGGTATTTGTGTTTATCTGAAAAGACAGGTGTGTGAGCTGACAGGGAACTGAGCCAAGTAAGCTTGCAGCAAGGTTTTTACCTCATTCATTTTAATGCTTGGGATAGTAAATCACTATAATTATCTCTGCTATTATCAGTTTTGTACTAGCCAGCTAGAACTACTCATTAAATCTTACCTTCCTGTTCTTGGCCATAAAGGAAAGTAGGGTGACAGAATATGCTGTGCAGTGAATAACAGGAAGGCTAAGTCCACTCTGTGAGATCTTTGTATACTTTAGCTGCTCACCCACTTGCCCATTTATTTTCTACAGCTAAATCAACAGGTTGGTTGTTTCATTGGTGAGTAGACAGCAGTAAAAATATGAATTGTCTTTAATCATGGAAACATAGAATAAAATCATAGAATCATTAGGTTGGAAAAGACCTTCAAGATCATCTGGTCCAACCATCCCCCTACCACCGATATCACCCACTAAACCATGTCCCTAAGCACCACGTCCAGCCTTTCCTAAAACACCCCCAGGGACGGTGACTCCACCACCTCCCTGGGCAAGCCATCCCAATGCCAGACTGCTCTTTCCGAGAAGAAATTTCTCCTCATTTCCAAACTGAACCTCCCCTGGCGCAACTTGAGGTGATTCCCTCTTGTCTTAATGAACTGTGAGGTCCCTTCCTGCTCTACGTTCTCTTCTATACAGCTTTGAAGGGACAGTTTCCTTACCTGCCTGACCCACACTGGAAAATTTTCCCTTCACATTCCTCACAGACTGTTTGCAGCTCCTGGTTGTAACTGTTTCTATCACCACAGACAGTTGAAGTGAGATCTTTGAAATAGCCTCTGTATAAACAGAGCACATCACTCCCTTCTTCAGCTAAGTTGTCTTTAAACCCTGATCAGCCTGACTGGAGTTCAGGAGAGGAGTGATATGAGAATAACTCAGTCTGAGGTTCGTGGTACACCTTACCTTCTGACAAAGGCAGTATAGTACACTGCTTTTGGTAGTTCATTTCATCCAACAGAGACTGGACAGAAGCCAATTAAGGCTACTGGGAAAGGCAGTTTCCCAGTTGTTCACCAGGAGCCAGGCACACGTGGGTTTTAACCAGCTAGCTGTGCTCTGAAGCTGCACTACATGTATTCATGGATAAGCTCTAGTGAGATGCACCCAGGCCACTGAGTTTTTCCTTTTTGCTCTTCCTTTTTTTTCATGGTGTTGAAGAAAATATTCCATTCTTACTAACACACCTTAATCCTGGTTACCCTCTGGGACTGTGCTTCCTTTTTACCCCTGGAGTTACAGTGAGCAGAGGGATTTGCAGTGAATTCAAAACCCTCAACTTTCATAAGAAGTTTTGAAATGCTTTTACATAGCAGAAGCCTCTCTGAACATAAGAGTAGATGGCCTCCTTTTCAACAATTGTTAGAACATCAAGCTTCCTCTTCAGGTTGCATCCTTATATGTACCTTTTTCTGTGACATAAATACATTTCTTTTTTTCACACTAACAATCTCAGTTGTATTTCAAGAATCATGTTTTATACTTGGCTTGTATGACAAGTATTCCATTAGTTATTACTTCCATACATTCCTGTTCCCATCTAGCTGGCTTATAAGTAGAGAATTACAATTAGTGCAGTCAAAGCAGTCAAAGGCCTCTTGTGCTAGGAGGGAAGAACATCACTCATTCAACAATTTGTTCTCATGTTGCATGCAGACATGGAAGGTATTCCTTTTTAATATTCTTTTCCTACACGTTCTTTAATCAGTGCTTAACCATCTGTTTTAAATCCATAGGTAAAATCTCTGGCTACATCCTGTCCAGAAGATCTCCAGAAAGGAAATGTACTAGCCTGGCCAGATTTCCTTCCAGGAGTTGTTGGAAGAGTGAAGATAGATTACAAGAGTATATTTTGTGCTGGTTAGAACTTTATTTACTAGAACCCCTTTCATTTGAACAATCTTGTAAGACTATTTCTTGAAGTTAAATATGCTAGCTTGCAGCCTTTGCCCTACTAACCTTGAATAAATTATTTTGATAACTTAACAGTTGGAACATTCAGTCCTTCATTCCTCAAATTGCAGGGTTTTGTAACAAAAGTTCATTGGAATCTCTGACAAAGATTTATTACTTCCTGAATTGAGATAGGGGAAGAGTGAAGATGGTGTTTGGTCAGAAGGAAGTTTTTCTTGTCTTTTCTTATAAAAATAATTGGACAGTATTAAAGTACCTGCTGCCTCCTCACCTTTTTTCCTACTGATTCCTTTCATGATGTTGCATTTTGATGACACCAGAACTTTTTGAAAGGTTACATCTAAGTAGGATGTAGCTTAGCATAACACTTCCCCAAACTTCCTCCTGGATAAACTTACACAAGATCAACGATCAATTAACAAATGTGTTCCTTTCAACACATAGCTGCATCTCTTACTGTATGCCTGTATTTTGTCCACAGACTGTCCATCTTTGCAAGGATCCATACCACATCTGCGTGCCTCTTCATCTGATTTAAAGCCAGGGTCAAAAGTGAGCCTTTCCTGTGACCCAGGCTTCCAGATAGTGGGAAACTCTGTTCAACACTGCCTTAACATGGGACAGTGGACACGGCCTTTTCCACGCTGTGAAAGTGAGTTGTTTCAGTGGGCTGGCAGGGTTAGGAAACATGAATTTCTGTTTGGACCTTATGACTGTTCATGGCTTGTTTATCCCTTCAGCTGTGATATGGTTGAAACCACCCATGTTACAGATGATATCTGTTTGATATCACATGTATGTTACAATATGTATGGTATGATGTCATCAAACATGCTTAAAGCTAAACTGAATTTTTACTGAGCCTACTGCCATCTGATTCTGCCAACTTTTCTGTCAGCTTCTAATGCTTGTGGCAGAAATGAGTCCATTTGGATCAGCAAACTGATTATCTGTGCTTGCCTCCCCTGTGGCACCAGGAATGTGGAAGAAGCACGGGAAATGCTAGAGTATCTGAACTTTAAGTATCACTGAGAATGTCTGGTTTGAAATAAAAGCTCTTGCATTAGTGTGTTATAGAGTAGTTTCTTAAAAGGCGACAGGTATTTCTGCCAGCGCTTAGAGGTACTCCAGCACTTACAAGATTTCTGCTAATACATTCTGCTAAGATTTCTGCTGCGTACATTTAGGTTGCCAAGTTTCTTTGTTTCCTGCTTTCCTAGTCCTGTCGCCTCCTTTCTGTGTTCTCCTCTTCTATGACTGTACATGTGACTGTAGTTGCATATGGTAGAGCTGACTGTATTTCTCATTTCAGCAGAACCATAAGTTAACTGCAGAAGTAGGTATTGCAGATATAAGCAAGCCCTTTTCACTAGAGCATAACTTCTCTGGCAGAGACAGCTTTGCTTTTTCTTGGTGTGTTACCAATGACAAGGCACCAGCACCCTGTTAGTGTTGTCATCCTGGCTCTGTATTGGGCCAGGCAGTTTTCCCCATTGAGCACAGAGCTTAGAACAGACCTGCCACAAGAATGGTGAGTAAATGAGGACCCGGCTCACCTTTCTCAGCCTGCTCCCCGAGTACCTGATTAACGAAAGCAGGATGAAGATAGCTATTTCCTGCAGAAAGAACCACAAAATCTATAGTGGACAGTGTGGTACAGGCCTAGTCAGAAAAGATTCTTCTACTGATTGTAGCCAGCTCCTTGTAATCGTTGCCTTCACCCACCAGGATCCTGTTCCTCCTTCTGCTACCACACACCCCCAAATCCACAGGTCCACATCCCCAGACAGCCTGGCTCTTCTGTTCTATCCCTCTGCATCAAGTACTTGGCTTCCAATGGGTTATGTAACCACTGCAACAAGTACACGTCGTCTTGGTTGAAATGGAGATATAAGCAGCTCTGCTAGAATAAGTAGCAGCCTCCAGCAGCCAGGTACAGTGACACCTTCTGCTGGCACGGCTGGGATCAGCAGGGATCACGTACTGTAGTCAAAGGCAGAGTGATGCCAAGGGTTGTGAAGTCAGTTCCCATCTCACCATCATAGCTAGGTTTGCAGTGCTCAAACACAGTAACACTCAGATTGTTTTCCAGTGAAGGGAGACACTAGGAACCTCCATGCGAACTTAGGTTTTCTTTCTCCTTAACACTCACTAGGATCATAGATTATCAGGGGAAGTGTCTTGGGACTGAAAGGTGTCTGCTCAGATGTTAGTCACAGATGGCTTTTCCAGAACTTGCAGAGCAGCAGGAGCTGGAGAGTCCTGCTCAGTTTCTGTCAGAGAAAAAATGAAGGCCCTCCACTCAACCAGGAATCAATTAGCTATCTCAGAAAAAATTGGGGCCTGCTTGTGGATGGGCTTCCACAGTTGTTGGATAGAAAATCTCTCTGGTGGTGGCTCTTGTGTGGAATTATTCTGAAGTTGACCTGTGCCCTTTTTTCACTCACATTGCAGGAATCAGCTGTGGAGTGCCTCCACCTTTAGAAAATGGGGGTTATGCAGCTGAGGACTTCTTTGCTGGCAGTACCATTACCTATCAGTGCAACAATGGCTACTATTTGTTGGGCGACTTCGAGATGTTCTGCAAGGACAATGGGAGCTGGAGCAGCATTTCACCATCTTGCCTTGGTGAGACATGCCATCCATATGGCTGCATGGGCTGGCAATCTTGCACTTCTGTGCCCTTGGGTTTGGGTGGGATTTCACTCTGAAATCATGAAAGCTAGCCAGAATCTCAGAAATTACTCCCCAAAATACTCATATTCCTGAAATCCTGTGCTCAGCACTGTGTCAAAACAGGACTCCAGTCTGGCACCTTTCTCTCTCAGTCCCCTTGTAAGACCCAAATCCTGTGCTTCCTACCTAATAAGCCTGCAATGCACTCCCAGCCTCTCTCCTTCCAGGTTCATTTAGCCCTGGAGTCCTTGCATTCCCTGCTACCAACTTGTGCATTTCCCTGCACTTCAGTACACCTGTCAGCAAGAGCTGCAGCCTTGAGAAGGCTGGGAGTGCAGTTACGGGCACAGTTCACATAATTTACCATAATTTACCATAATTTTACCATAACTTACTTCCTGGTCAGCTGGACCTGATGTACCAGATGCAGCCACAGGAAGGGAAAGGTGAGACTAGCATGGTACTGCATACAGAGGGCTGGTGGTAGGGCCATGTCTCCAGCAGATCCCTGCTGGAATCCCCTAGCTAGCTGTACTCAGGTTACTTCTCTCTTGGTCACGCTTAACGGGTGAATTGCGTGAATAACCTGGCAAGGCCTTTATGTTTGATGTGACTGGTTGTTTTTCCTAAACATGTAGGTACAGAACATTTTTTTTTTCAGTCAAGATGAGCAAAAGCAAAATGAAAAGCCTCTTAGTTCTGCCAAAATTCACTTTGGAGTAGGATCCATCTTGTTTTGTAGAATCTTGTCCATCAAGACTCCTCCAGAACCTCCAAGCAGACCATCCAGACTGTTGTTCCTTTCTTTGCTGTTCATCTTTGCACTTTATACAAAGGTCTAAACATGAGCAGGCACAAAACAAATGCTGCAAGGCTGTCCGTGTAGTTCAACATCTGTGCAGTATAGAGAGTAATTTGGGAAGGAAGTGCCCTGTGCCCCACCTTCTAGCTTGTCTTCTCTCTGATAAAGCAGAATAGACATGGAAAATTGAAAAAAAAAAAGAAAAAGAAAAAAATAAATAAACGAAATGAAAACCCTGGCCCATACTTTACCTTTTTTATTCACACTTCAGACAGGTGCTAACAAAGCATGATACAACTCTAGGGCATTCCTTTTGCTGTTACAAATCTGATTCATAGTGTCCTTCCACTCTGCCTTGCCTTCCCTTTACACGACATTACTGAGGAACAGTCATTCTATTTCTGCTGTGGTAGCACTTTGCATTCTCTTGATACTTCCATAATTGGCAACTGTTTTGATTTAAAGGAGCCATTTTTATCCTGCATGTCAGAGAGAAACTCCCTTTCTTTTCAGAGCGTTGTCAGGTTCTTTCTTGCTGGCCAGACTCATTCAGCAGTGAGGAATGAGCACACCAATTCAGAAGATCTTGTTGCTTTTTTAAGTCAGTTGCTTTTTTTTTTTTTTTGCCTGGAAGTAGGCAAAGAACTCCAGCTATGTGTTTGTATAGCACCTAGTTCAACAGCTGTCCTTTAGCTGGGCTTAGAAATGAAGAATTGTTCTCTCTCTTAACGGTCTGATTTATATGGGGAATAATCCCTGATGCCAGCATTTTTCAATGAGATATTTTGAAATTGATCCTTGCAATTTATTACTCATTGTTTACATACCAAGAACACTTCTGCTCAGTCAGGATTTGAAAGCTGATATGAAATAATCTGGAGCCAGCAATATTTTTAGCTGTACAGTACCAAGTGACTTGGAGCATAAATCATTAGTTGACATTTCTAGGCATTGTTATCATATAAATAGATAATTATTATAATAGCTGATATGCTTTGAACTAATCTTAACTTTTTTCTGGCAACTGCGGGTTCTTCTCTTTTCTAATCTAGTGTAATTCTCTGTAGCAAAGATGGGGCTTTGCTTGTATTTTATGTTCAAAATGTTTCCTATATTGGCTAAGCAGTTGGGAAGTTTGAGGTGTAGAGGATTTTCCAAGTAAGTATTTAATGCAAAGTCATTCAATTAGTATCTGTCAAAAACTGCCTATTAGTGTCTGTCAAAACTGGTAGACAATAACACGAGTTACAATGTCTTCACATGAGTTCCCTACCTGGAAATAAGGTACTTTGTGTGGAAGTATTGACTGAAGGTTAATGGGGATTTGTCTCCTGTTTTCTCACTTTTATAATATTTTATAGTTAATTAACTGGAAATGTAAACATTAATTTAATGATTAAATATTATTACTGGTACATGAAAACTGTGATTGAGTGATTTTTCATTATACTATTTAAACTGATTCCTGTTAGTGAGACAGATATTTGAAGCAGATGCATATCACAATTACCACCCTAGAAACATCTTTATTATGTTTCTTTTTTGTAGATGTTGATGAATGTGCTGTTGGATCAGACTGTGACGAGCACGCATCTTGTCTTAACACAAATGGATCCTATGTTTGCACTTGCATCCCTCCTTACAAAGGAGATGGTAAAAAATGTACAGGTATGAGAAAGAAAAACATCAGGCTAGACTTCCAAGAGTCTATATGGGCTAGTATCCTGTCTTCTGTTGTGAAGAAGACTGACTTCAATTATTTCAATAACTGAATAATTTATAATTATTCAAATTACTGTTGCCAGTAATTAAAAGGAGGGAGGTACAAGAGCAAGCATGTTCTCATATCCAAATCAATTTAGCCTGAATCAGGCTGGAAATATTAAGCAAGGTGGCTTTGTGTCAGCACTGCAAGATGTTGGCATAGGTTGGCATAAAAGGTGTCTGAGCTGATTTCAAGTTGAGGGCTGGACATGCTGGGCTGGGCTTTCTCTCGCAGGGGGAAAAATGGCTGCAAGATGTATTTGTTTCTGACAATGAATGCAAGCAGCCACAGTGCTCATACTGTGAATGCAAACTCAGTTAGAAAGGGCTGTATCACGATTAGTTTACTTGCAAGAGTCTTCAGTTTCTGTCACTTACATACATGACAGGGAAAAGCTGGCAAGCCTGTAAATTACTTGTGGGTATTTTCCACGTTTGTCTTTCCTACTTTCAGAAGATTCCCAAGGATATATCCTGCAACTTGTTCATGAAACCTGGTACTTAGTGATGTTATTAAGAGTTTTCTCTCTTCTTTCTCAGAGCCGGTGAAGTGCCGTAATCCAGGAAATCCAGCAAATGGACGTTTGTACGGGGACATTTACAGTGTTGGCAGTGAAGTAACGTTTTCCTGTGAAGAAGGGTTTCAGCTGACAGGAGTGACAAAACTTACATGCATGGAGTCTGGACAGTGGAGCCACCCAATACCATATTGTGAAGGTGTAGTTGCTGGGGAGAATGCTGATTGTAACATGCATTTTGTGGTAGAGTTAGAAGGGGAAGAGACCAGAGAGTTGAGAGACTTCAGAGACTTTGACAGCTAATGCAACCTTGTACCAACAGTCTTGGGCCTCAAGGCTGAAGTCTCTTTTGTCTTTAAAGATATAAGCACCAGCTGAAGCTTTTCTGACAGTTGTCATGTTCATGGTGGCACTCTTATACAGATTCTCTGAAATGACAAAGGTGTAGACTCATGTCTTTCTCTTAATGTAAACTTTAAAACTGTCTTTCTTCACCAAGCAGCCTCTTGTTTTCAAGGAGCTTGTGGAAACTTAATGTCTTAAAGATCATTAACAGTATTTCAGTGGATAAAAAGCATCCAGGGAGGACAGACTACAGCACATACATATACATGGCATAATTGTGGAAATAGTTTTAGAGAAACAGAGCTAATGAGGTGAAACAACAGGGTAAAAGGAAGAGGTTACAAAGAACAAATGAAAAGGATTTTTTCCATAGGAAGAGATGGAGATGGAGTCCTCTTGATGCTAAAGCGTGTGGGTTTTGGAACATTTCCAACTGCCAGTTTCCAGTTAGTCAAATTTCTCCACAAGATGAAGACAAATAAAGAGCCCTACATGTCAGTTATAGCTTAGCCAAGAACCCACTGTTTTCAAGAGCTTTAGATCTCTTCAAGCCTATTTAGTAAAAACAAAGAAAATCCTGACGTTGTTATTTTTGATTTGTATTGTATCAACCTCTCCTGTGATCCTGTCTTTTTACAGCTATATCCTGTGGAGGCCCAGTTATTCCAGAGAACGGTGTCATTTGGGGCTCAAATTTTACATACCGCAGTAAGGTGATATACAGGTACGAATTCCGTATATTATTTATTAATGACTGAGCTTTATTAATGACTGAGCATCCAGCAACAAATGAGAGTTTATCGAAATTCAGAGAGTGGTTGAAATAAACAGGGAGGAGGAAGATGGGATTAAAGTAATGGAAAGACATTTATTTATAGTTGTGGCTGTTCATTAGCAAAGCTGAATGTTTACTGTGCTAATTCTCTGTGCTAATTCTCTGCCCTACAGAGAAAACGATGATATGAGGGTGTGGATAAAGGGGTGTGAAAGGGGTGGCCAATGAGGTTGTGCATAAAAGGCTCTGTATTGATAACACTTGCTTTCTTCTCACACAGATGCAATGATGGGTACCGCTTAGTGGGTGAAAAGGAAATTGTCTGCCTTGCTAGTGGTGTTTGGAATCTTCCTCCCCCCTCCTGTGAAATGGTGACGTGTCCTAGCCCACAGAACATCAGCAATGGAAAATACACACTTAATGGCACAACCTACCTTTCCTCTGTGTCATACACCTGTGACAATGGATACAGGTAAATGCAGAAACATTCCTGAGTCAAATGCAGGCAGCATGCTTTTGCATTTAAAAAAAAAATTCTGAAAGATCTAACTTACATCTGAAAAAGACAAGGCTGGGATGATTGCTCGGAAAGATAGAATACTAAAAGAAAATTTTAAAAAAACTTCTTTATATCTTGGAAGTAATTCCTGTTTTCCATACAAAATTGGAGCAATTCAGGAAGACCATTCAATATCTTCCATGCATGCGTATATATATATATATATATATGTATAAAAAACGTTTTCATTTTTACCATTAAACTCTTAACACATATTTTGAATATTTGTAAATCAGTTCTCATCATTTTTGAAGCTCTCATTTGTCCTTAAAGATTATCATTCACCTAATTAGCTTTGGAGCATAGGCAGTATTATTTTTAGTATTGTTTTACAATGCCTTTGGTGAAAGAATCTTTTGGAATTTCCCCCTTTACTCCTTTAAAGGTCTGCAGTAGTTACTTGTTTTAGGCTTTTATTCTGTTTTACATTTGTAAGCAAATGTATCAGAAACACATTTTTATTAGGCTGCAGTTAAGTGTTTAAGTCCATGAGTGAATCAGGACTCAGACTTAAGCCTGGTTGCAACCCTCAAGATAGGCATGGTGTTGGTGGTGAATTTTTAAGCTTTTGTAGCTCAAAAATGGACAAAGTTACAGCAGAAGTAAATATGTGTGTCGCACAGTGCACTGAGGCCCCACAAGAATTCCACCAGCTTTCTCCTCAAAATATCTGAAAAACAGCTTTTTTGAGAGCATCAACAGTGTGTTTTCATGCATTGGAGATGCTGGCCTCTGCTGAAGTCAGACTTGCTTTGGCTTCACTGAGGCCAGGAAATCAGCGAGGAGCAAAGCACCTCTTGCTCTCTCTGTTTCTCAGCCAGCCTGAAACAGCAGTCTTAATAATGATCTTTGTGTCTCAGCCTTCAGGGACCCTCTGTACTTGTCTGTGCGTCTTCAGGGAACTGGAACAGCACACCGCCAGCTTGCAGCATTGTCTCTTGTGGGTCCCCTCCTGCCATCAAAGATGCGATCATAAATGGAAATAACTTTACATTCGGAAGCACGGTCTCTTACACATGTAAGGAAGGGTATGTATATTCTTGCTACTGGATTAATACATGGGACAAGTAAAACTGGTGCAGTCCACCCAGGCTTACTGGCAAAGCTGTGTGCTCTGTTGCCTCATGACGTCATAACTGCTCATGAATTCATTTTCACTTCTCCTGTCTTGACTGTCTGGAAATTAAACGTGAAGGAGACGTTTTGTGGGCTGGATTGTTAGTATGGGACACCAAGGCATTTCCTAAGGTGGTCAGCTCCACATCAGCTGAATAGTCCGTAGAAGAGAAGAATGGAGAGGAGTTGGAGGGCGTGATAAATCAGTCTCTTGGACTAGTCCAGACCCAATTTTATCAAAGATATGGCTCCCCTTTGATGGTCTAGCATGAGTGTAATGCTGGCCTCTGATACTGGAAGAACCTTTGCACATGTATCTTTACAGCCTGTAAGCAGTTGCATTGAATTTCTTGAAACTGTTTTGTCCAAAAGCCAGAGTACATAGGAAAAGCTTTTGCAAGGTCAGGCTGTAAGTGACTGGAGGATTTTGTGATTCTTGATGAAAAAGATGGATTAGGCAACAGCATTTTTTCTTGTAAACTAGTTTTGCAATATTATTTGAAACATCGTTGAAATAAATCCTCCTTAGTCTGTTTTCTTGACTGTATTAAGATTCAAAAAGCTGCATCTTTTTCCTGTGCAAGTATTTTAAAATAGGATAGGATATCAGCATTTAAAGAGGGTCACTGCTGTCTGTGTGACAATTGATAGAGTGGATAATATTAAGGGTTGATACATAATAGGCTATTTCTCTGGAATCCAGTCACAAGGCTCTGAAAACGTATCCTGCAGACAAGACAAAACACTTTTACAGAAGTTGCCATCAAAATCTGAACCAGTTCCCAGCCTGCAGCTGGAGTTACTGGGACCTTTGGAATAGATATTGTTTCTTTGCTTTATGTAAGAGACACTACAGAAAATTTAAAACTGAACAAAAGATGGTCAAAGATAACAAATCGCATGTTTAAGGTGCATGAATTTAAATTAGTTGATGAGCAGCAGGGAATAATGCCTGTCACTGCATCCCAGAGACAGAGTAAAGAAATATAACTGCATTTAGAGTAATCACACAGTGGAACTTCATTGTAAAATATTATATGTTTTTTAAATCAGGACTAAAAATATTCGCCTTTATATCAGTTTCTACAGTGTTTTTTTAGGAAGTTGTTACAAAATTGCTATGTGCATTATTGGCAACAGCATTTCTAGGTAACTCGCCAAGGAGATTCTTATCATTTGGAAGTGTGAAAATAGATCGATACAGCTGACAACAGGAACCCAAAAGACTTTTACGGGCTTTTCATCTCTTCCTCCTCCCTTCAGTTCTGCTAGAGGGGAATACTTTCTGAGTGGGATAGCTTCTTTGAGGGGTGGACAGACTACCGCAGCACAATACTACGTTTGTTGTAATAGTGAAATTTCAATCAAAAGGGAAGTTCAGAAATGGTAATCAGATGGACAGACCAGAGAAGAGCATTATGCTCAAGGCCTTCTGAGTTCTCCCTTATGAGGTTCTCCATACCTCACCTGTGGACACATTCGTTTCGGGATTTTATGTCTGAAATAGCTGTTGTAAAGGATCCTATTTGTTTATCTTCTAGGGTGCTAGCAAACTTGTTCTGCAGGGGCTTCAGGAAACTGTACATCTGACAGTACTTGCTTTTTTTGACTCCCTGTGTGGTTTTCTTATCCACAGTTACACATTAGATGGCCCTGCAACCATAGAGTGCTTAGCCAGTGGTGAGTGGAGCGTGAACCACCAGCAGTGCCTGGCAGTATCCTGTGATGAACCACCCCATGTGGAAAATGCATCGCCGCAGAGAGCCCACCGCCTCTTTGGTGATACCGCTTATTACTTCTGCTCGGACGGCTACAGCCTGGCCGATAACTCTCAGCTGCTTTGCAACGCAGAAGGGAAGTGGGTGCCTCCCGAGGGCAAGACAATGCCCCACTGCATAGCTGATTTCTGTGAAAAGCCATCCACTGTCTCATACAGCATCCTGGAGTCCGTCAGCAAAGCCAGGTTCGCAGCGGGCTCCATCGTGAGCTTCAAGTGCATGGAAGGCTTCATCCTGAACACTTCAGCCAAAATTGAGTGCCTTCGAGGGGGTCTCTGGAACCCTTCTCCATTGAGCATCCAGTGCATCCCAGTTCGCTGTGGAGAACCTCCCCACATTGCCAATGGCTATGCCAGTGGGGCCAACTACAGCTTCGGAGCAGTGGTGGCTTACAGCTGCAACAAGGGCTTTTACATCAAGGGGGAGAAGAAGCGGACCTGTGAGGCCACCGGCAACTGGAGTGGCAATTTGCCCACATGCCACCCAGTGTCCTGTGGAGAACCACCCCAGCTTGAGAATGGCTTTATTAAGGTATAAAATGAGTTCTCTCATCTGCCTGGAATCATAGCAAACTGAATGTCTTCGTAATTGATACTGTGTTGTGTTTTTTTTCTCTTCTTTTTTGCTTTGCTGTTAAAATTGTGGAAAGATGTGACTGAATGGAACAAATAAGCAGAGGGAAAATGGGTGGATTTGTAGAAGAAACATGTTTAAAAAAACACAGACACTTCCATGGTATTTCCTATCGTAAAATGGGTTTTCAGTTAGGAAACTCAGGGCACGGTATTACAATCAATTGATTTCCTTGATACCTCACTCTTCACTTGTTCACTTCTTGGGTGGCTTTCCAAGATCCATTTGGAGATGTATGAAGTACTATTGCCAGTTCACAGGCCTTGCTCTTTTTACTGCTGTGAAAAATATTCAAATTTGAAATAGGTACATCACTTTGAGATAATTTCTCTGCTTTGGATGCAAGAACATCTATTTACTGAGGTCAGAACTTGTCCTTTTTACTGTCAAATTACATTGCAACAATGCCTAAAATTAAAGATCGCCTTGTGGAAGCCCAAAGCTGTAAAACTACTCAGTCTGTGTTGAGTAACCAGTTGCAGAGCTCAGGCTGCAACTTTGAGGAGCTTCTCTGCTGCCTGCTCAGAACCCTCCAACTGCTCAGGACCCTCCAACTGCACATGTGGCACTTATAAAAGCCTCCTAGCAGTAGTACACCTGAAGGCTCCAGCACTGAATACACATGTAAGCTAAGGAACCTGAGCAGCAATAGGGTAATAGTTTCCTAGCAGCTTCTCCCAATACGTTTCTTTGCTGTCTTCCTGTCTACATAACTTTTAACCTTACAGGTCAGGGAGGGAGAAAGCAGGAGGAAATACTTTCTAGATTTGCCTTTTAAGCCTTGAATTTTCTCTTTTCTTTTGATGTTGTGGTCAGATTCCCTGATAACAGAGTGCAGTATTTGAGGCAAGTGTCTGTTACTTACACTTGTTTCTTTGCAGATAGCCTTGACCGCTGCCTGGGATCCAGCTATAATCTAGACTGAGAAAACAAAAGTAATGCTATCGTTCTCCCTGTGTGCCAGTCATGCATCTTCATTTCAGATATGTCTGTGTCTCATCTGTTTTACAGGAAACAACTGGGCGCTTCTTTGAGAACCAGGCCAATTATCAGTGCAAGTCTGGCTACCACCTGGTTGGGAGCTCACTCTTTATCTGCCAAGCCAATCGGCAGTGGTACAGTGAATCACCTCCTCGCTGCGTTCCCCTCAGCTGTGGAAAGCCACCACCCATCCAGCATGGCTACTCCAAAGGAGAAACCTTTGATTTGGGCTCCAAAGTCGAGTTTTTCTGTGATGAAGGCTATGAGCTGATTGGAGATGTGTCTTGGACGTGTCAGAAGTCTGGGAAATGGAACAAAAAGCAAAGCCCAAAGTGTGTGCCAACCAAATGTCCAGAACCACCCTTGGCAGAAAACCAGCTAGTCTTGAGGGAGGTGACTAACCAAGTTGGTGTCGTGCAGTTCTCCTGCAAAGAGGGTTATGTTTTGCATGGTTCCCCTGTACTGAAATGCTTGCCCTCTCAACAGTGGAATGATTCCTTTCCCTTCTGCAAGGTCGTACAGTGTCCTGCACCTCCATACATCCCCTTCAGTGACCCCTTGACTTCATCCCTTCTTTTTGGTAGCACTGTGAAGTACATCTGTGTGGATGGGTTTTTACTGAAGGGTGAATCTACTATCAGATGCCAGGCTGATGGCTCGTGGAGCTTGCCTTTGCCAGAATGTATTCCTGTGGAGTGCCCCCAGCCAGAAGAAATTCAAAATGGCATTGTCGATGTGCAGGGCCTCACCTTCCTCAGCACAGCCCTCTATACTTGTAAACCGGGCTTTGAACTGATGGGGAACACAACTATCCTCTGTGGAGAAGATGGGCGGTGGCTTGGAGGAAGGCCAGCTTGCAAACCCATTGAATGCCCACGGCCTAAGAAGATCCTCAATGGCAAATACTCGTTTACGAACTTCCACTATGGGCAGACTGTTAGGTATTCCTGTGACAGAGGCTTCCAGCTCCAAGGGGAGGAAACGCTGAGCTGCCTGGAGACAGGAGAGTGGAGCACAGATGTTCCCTCCTGCAAAGCCATAAGTTGCCAGCCCCCTCAGCCTATCGAGAATGGCTTTGTGGAGGGTGCAGATTACAGCTACGGGGCCATGGTCATTTACAGCTGCGTGCCTGGCTTCCAGCTCTCTGGCCTTGCCATGCAGACGTGTGAAGAATCAGGCTGGTCTAGCTCCACTCCATCTTGCCTCCCCACCGACTGTGGCCTACCTCCTCACATTGATTTTGGGGAGTACGTGCAGGTGAGGCACAGGGAAAGGCGCTCAGACCAGGAGGGCGTTACAGAGAGTCCCTCCCTTTCACACATGCTGCTGGCTGGCAATCCAAAGGACTTCAGAAGCTCTTCAAAGGAGAACGGTGCAATGCAGCTGACCACTTTCTTGTTTGGAACTATCATTTTATACTCGTGTTACTCTGGCTATGAGCTCTTGGGAAACCCCATTCTAGCTTGCCAAGAAGAAGGGGTCTGGAATGGCTCTGCCCCCTCCTGTGTTTCCATAGAGTGCACAATGCCGTCGCCTCCGGAGAATGGAGTTTTATATTTCACGGAGAACACGCTGGGCAGCGTGGTGCAGTACACCTGTAAGCCAGGGTTTACACTTGTTGGCTCGGACACACGATTGTGCTTGCCAAATCGGCAGTGGAGCAACAGTGCTCCGTACTGCAAAGCAGTAACATGCAGCTCACCCGCCCAGCTGATGAACGGGAGCATAAGGGGGGAAAACTACACGTATGGGAGCGTTGTCTACTATGAGTGCGATCCTGGCTACCAGTTAATTGGCCCCGCAGAGAGGAGGTGCCAAGAGAACCAGAAATGGGATGGCGGTGAACCGATTTGCATCCCCGTTTCCTGCAGCCCGCCGCCAGTTTTGGAGAATGGTCAAGTGTCTGGGGAGGAGTACACATTCCAGAGGCATGCCGAGTATAGCTGCAACGAAGGTTTCCTGTTAGATGGGGACAGGAGTAGAGTCTGCCTTGCAAATGGGAGCTGGAGTGGAATTGCTCCAGTTTGCAAAGCTGTGACCTGCCCCATGCCTCTGCCTCTTGCCAATGGGAGAATTATTGGCTCAGATTTTGGCTTTAGGAAGGAAGTGCAGTATGACTGCAACGAAGGATATAACCTGCAAGGGGCGTCCACGCTTACCTGTCAGAGCGATGGTACCTGGGATTCAGAAGCTCCACGCTGTGAGCCAGTCATTTGTGGGCCTCCTGAAGACATCTCCCACGGCTTTCTGAACGGCTCAGACTTCACCTACGGGGAATTTGCCCAGTATGTGTGCTTTCCTGGCTATGAGCTGCATGGTAATCCTTCACGGCAATGTTTGTCCAATGGTTCCTGGAGTGGAAGCCTTCCATCCTGCCTCCCCTGTGAGTGTCCTGCACCACAGATCCAGAACGGGGTTGTCCTTGGTGAAGATTTCAGCTGTGGGAAGAGCGCCCAGTTTCAATGCCTGGAGGGCTTTAAACTGCTAGGGCCTTCCAGAATCACCTGTGAGGCAGCTGGCAGGTGGAGCTCTGGGTTTCCTCGGTGTGGGCAGATTTCCTGCGGCTCCCCACCCATCATCCCCAACACATTTATCAATGGGAGCAGCTCTGCAGATGAGAACACCATCATATACACCTGCTTGACAGGTTTTGTCATGCGGGGGAGCCCAGAGCTGACTTGTGTGGAGACAGGTGTCTGGAAGAAGCCGTACCCAAGCTGTGAGCTGCTGAGCTGTGGCCCACCACCTTCTGTCCCCAACGCAGAGGTTCTCGGGAACACTCATACCTATGGGAGCAAGGTCCAGTACAGGTAGGAACACTGCTGCCACTCTGTTTCCGTAGAGTCTCTTAAGCAATGAAGATGGGAAGTTTATGCACCCTTTTGAGAAGACCTGGGAGAAAAGTTATGCCTTATCATATGCGTAGAGAGACAAAGCCCACATTCCCATGCCCATAAAAAATTTTATTTGGACCACTGATAAAACTCCAGCAAGGTATTTCAGCATGTTGGGCCGCACTCCTCCACCACCTTGGTTTCCTTTTCCTTTTTGCTTTCCTCCTCTCCTCCTCTGACACTCTGCTCTGTAGGGCATTTTTATTTTTGTTATCCCTTTTAGCATGCCATTTACCTCTTCTTCCTGCTTCTGCTACCTAATGTAACACAGAAGGGCTGGTCTCCTGAAGTCCCATTTTCTGTACCACAGCATTGCACTGTCGACAGGTGCTATTGATGCAGTTACTCCTTTGTCATAAACAAGAAAAATGGGTTTCTGCTGGTTTCTTGGAGGGTGCACACTGGAGATCCTTTTCTCCAAGGTGAGGACTTCCTGGGCAGAACGGGAGATTTTTGGCAGTAAAAATAATAAACAGTAGGGGGCAGAACTGTGAGATTGCATGTGGATGGGTTTAACAGAATCAGACATTCCTGTGCATCTTTCACAAGATGAAGGGGGTCTGCCAACCTACAACTAAACCCACTGCTGGCCATACCCTGCAAGCCAGTTGAGTTGATCTTGGTGAAGCACTGCATGGCACAGAGCAAATCAGGCTGAAACTTCTAAGCAAGCAATCTGTGGTCAGCCTAAGGCTTGGTTTACTTTTGGAAGAAAATGAGATTGTCTTTAGAATTGTTGGTTGCAAATGGGATATCCAGCAATTGGGAATCAAGAAGCTGCAGTAGCATTTGGCACTCGCAGTTTACTTAACCAAAAGCCCTCCTCACAAAGGGAAGGGCAGGGACTGCACCAAGGCATTTGGTATTGTCTAAGCACTAAAGCTACCAACTCACTTCCCCCAGTGGTGCTTCAGCAACATGAAGCACCTGGAGATGAAGTCTGAAACTTCCAACTCTTGCAACAGAATAAACTCATTCTAGGCATGCTTCTTGCAAGGTTCCTTTGAAATAAAAGAAAAGTCACCAGGTGTGCTTACGAACAAATAATGTTGAAAAATGTCTTTGTAACTCGTGGATCAGTTTGTCCGTAGCTGTTTCCCTGTGGTCAGGTGTTAATGCTCTGTTGCAGATGCCTGGAAGGCTACACAATGGTGACAGAGGTGGATGTATGCACTTGTCAGGAAGATGGACAGTGGTCTCCTCAAAGTATTTCCTGTTGCCCCAGAAAGTGTCCACTCCCAGGAAACATCACCCATGTAATAGTACTTGGGGACAACTTCACTGTGAATGCAAACATCACTTTGTCATGTGTAGAAGGCTATACTCTGGTGGGAGCGAGCACATCTACATGCAAGGTATAGTATTATCTGCACTGTTTTATTTTTCAGGCTCTGTTGAATTCAAGAGTCGTCCTCTTACACTCATTAGCTTTTGGCTCTTTATTGCACACAACAAAAAAAATGCAAAGCATGTCCTGCAAAATATAATATATATGCCTTCTTGTTCACCCGTAAACACATAACAGACTTTCAGAACTGGAAATTAATAACTTCTTCTGTCAATAACTAATGCTGTCCTTCAGAAAAGCATTCCTTTTGTCACATTTAGGAGAGTAAATCATGAATCATTTTTACCGGATTAGTACTTTTTGTAAGCAAAGGGTCTCCTCTTCGCTCTTACAAAGATTTGTCAGAGTAAGAGTAATTGTGTTTGATGCTTGTCTGTTCAGGTATTAGATCTCCTTTAGGACCTGGGCAGGCAGCTGAAGCACTTAGTCATAGTATGAGACTTTCAGCCAAGAGAAAAGTACAGAAAACATGGAACTGAGCACCTGCAGTTTCATTCCGCTCCTGATGGGTTCCTGAACTATTAGATGACCTTGTATAAGTGAACTTGCTTTTCAGGTTTCTGTTTCCCCTTTTATATTTTGTTCCTTCTGTCTTTCAATGCTGGGCATTCCTTTCATAGCTGAGCTCCAGTTTTTGTTGATGTTTACTTGTATTACTGAGTTTCTTTAAAGATTTCACAGATAGTATTACATTAACTACATCAGTATGCCCACAGCTATTGGATGTTTCTGCTACAATTTTCCTAACTTTTTCATTTAGATACGAATTTAGCATATGGACTGATGCATTCACACTTTTTATCACAATTATTTTTCAGGAGAGTGGTGTTTGGGTGCCAGTGTTTTCCGATGACATCTGCATTCCTGTGTCATGTGGGACCCCAGAATCTCCAGAGCACGGATTTGTGGTTGGCACCAAATTCAATTATAAAGACGTGGTTCTTTATAAATGTGATCCTGGCTATGAATTACAAGTAAGCAAGCTCAATTTCTAGCACTCTAGAGCGTTAGTTGTCCGTTCTTCCCTGTTCTTACATAATGACTGTGAGAATGTATTATGCCTGCTCCATATTGATATATTTCCTTAGCTGCTATAGAAGTTCAATATCTGATTTTGTTGTTGTCTATAGAATGCTCATGGTATGTCTGAGGTATTACCTGAATTAGTTAACAGTACAACTGAAGCAAATATAAGCATCCTCTTCAAAGGCACGTATTCAGCAAATACCTTTCAGTGTTGTTGTTTTTTATAGCTGAAGTTTATTTCAGTCCTCAAAGTACAGCTTTTTTTCTGAGCATAATGATACATACTTGTGACCATAAATCATGGAAGAGTAAATTTCTCGCATGTGCTCTCTTGAGCTTGCTCTCTGTTCTCAGTTAGATCATCTTCCTTTTTCCAGTCCCATAATATTCCATAATGTTCTATGTCTTCTGCACGCTGCCTTCGAAATTCAAAGCTCCTGATAAATGGCACTGCCCTCAGTTCTGTGATATTGCTAGATGATGTGGAAGTGTTTTGTCTTCTTTGATAAAACAAAGAGGTTGCAGTTTGTTTAATGGCAGCTTTATTCCCTGATGTAGATGTGAACAAAGTCCTTTCCTGTCTCTTGTTTTTACTATGAGCATTGGGCTATTGTTTCTAGCTGAGCTCTGGAGCACTACTGATACCCAGTTATCAGGACTCATGCTAGCCAATTCATAGCAGCCTCATTTTCAAAATCACAATGAGTTCAGAAATGAAAATTCATTGCTGAGGTACAGCATGGCCTTCACCATCCCCAGGTGATGGCAGGATGTGGGACAATCCTGTCCAGATGTATGAGGTAGCAATGACAGGTGCTGTCTCTTAACTCTGTACTTCATGAGTACCAAACAAAATGCAGTATCATGCTTCCTTCGTGCGGTGGTGACTGATAATAAATACAAACTTCATACACCCAGACAGGATTGCATTCACTTGGTCTCTCAGTATATATAAAAAGAAGAGTTTAGAGAAATCATGGGTAACAATAAATCTAATTTCCAGACAGAAACAGAGACAGAAAGGACAGATACGTAGAATTGCTGTATTTTTGGTGGTAATAAACCAGTGCTTTTGTATAGTAAAAAAGATCGATGTGCGTGCTTTGTAGGCCAGCTTCGCCACCTAGTGTCAGTGTGTTTCCCTCTTGTTAGAGGTCCTGTGTTTTTCTCTCCAGAATGCCTTCCAACAATCATTTCAAACAGCTGCTTTTGTCAATGGGTTTGCATTGTAATGAAAGTACATTACTTAAGGGACAAATTTAGATGTTCTTCTTCATGTCTTGGAATAAAATACAAGACAAATCTTTAAGTATTAGGCTAACTATAAAATGTGTGTGTAAGAAAGAAATAACATCATTTATAAGTGAGTTTGAAGCATCAGTTCTTGGGACATGAAGTCAGTACAGTATGTTTACAAACCATAGGCTTGTGCTGCTGGTGAAAAGAATGCAAGTTAGATTTTCATTAAGTGAGTACTGGAAGGAGAAAATGTGCCATCATGACAATTTCTGGGAATAAGAATGGCAAAACTGACAAAAACAGTGATGCTCCAGGGAGAAGGACAAGGAAACTGACTGACCCACTAGCATTTGGTTTGTAAACAGTACCCTGCAGTTTGCAGGAAGGAGTTCTAGCCTAAACTCTCCTCATCAGCTTGGGCTACAGGCATTTAACTCTGTCTTTATATGGGTATATGTACCCGTTGGGAAGACATGCTGGCCTTGCTGTATACCAGAGCTGTTGGGAGAAAAAAGGATTGCTAAGTGAAGCTGTTCTTTGAGCAATGTCTCTTGTTTCGTAGGGTGATACGGAACGGACCTGCCAAGAAGACAAGCTTTGGAGTGGCACAGTGCCAGCATGCAGAAGTATGTTCCATCTGAGTTTGTCACTTGATGAATTTGGTCGAGGGTGCTTTTAGCCTGAAGACACTTGTGGTCATTTTGCCCAATTTATAACTCATACTGTCTTCATATGTCTAAAAATTGTCAGTAAGTACCACTGATAGCACACTGGGAGACGTGCAGAATTGCTGGTGTGCACAGGTGACTGTGTTAAGGAAATCACTACAGCTTTCCACTGCTGTGCCCCTGTACCTCTAAGAAAGCTGGGCAAACAGGTAGCAAAGGGGTTGTTGTTCAATCCTTCCGTTTACGTATACTTTACTTCAGACATAGGGCTGCATGCTTAGAGGAGCCTTTGACACATTCCTTCTGTTGTTTTAGCTCTTTGCATCTTTAGATAAGTTTAATGGAAATTGTTAGTGATATTAAGAGGTTTAAACATTTTCTATTAACTGCGTGGTTAAATAAGATGAGATACAGGGGGGGTCAGAGAAACAGCAGAGTTTCTCTGAAACTACACAAAAAAAGAGTAGCAATGACAACCTGAAGAGCTGTTGTCTTGTATCAGGTTATTGATACAAGAGATTATGGGCATATTACTTTAACAGATTATTGTCCATCTTGGAAGAGTAATATCCGAAATTTAAACAATGCTTCCATTTGAGGTCATGGTTTCTCAGGTTGCTAAGAACCTTTGACCACCACAGTTGCCCAGAGCTGTGGATATTCAACATCCTGAACTGTAGCTCTATGGATGCTCATTTTCAAAGGTACTTCAGCTCTGTGCGATGTCTGATTCCCTCTGCCTGCAGTGCCAAAACAGAAGCTGTCAACAGAAATACTTACATGGAGTTCAGCTGTTGGCTTCAAGGCCTCCTGCCAATAAAGTCACAATGGATTTTGTCTTTGAGCAGTATCTGAGAGCACCGAATATTATTCTGCTGCTGTTCTGCTACTCAGGAGCAAAATATCTGGGAATGCCCATATATACACAGTGTTCTTTCCCTGTTTGTCAGGGTAAAAATCGTGGAGGAGCTAGGAGCAGGACAGGCTGTATGCACTGGGTCTGGAGTATATTTCTTGTGTTACAGGAGTATCATGTGGGCCCCCAGAGGAGATAGAAAATGGATCTGTTCAGGGAGAGGAGTTCTTGTTTGGCAGTGAGGTTTTTTACAGCTGTGACCCTGGTTTCGAACTACAGGGACCAAGCCGAAGGATTTGCCACGTTGACTAAAAGTGGAGCCCCTCTGTTCCTTTTATGCAGGAGTAAGCAGCAAGCACAGCGACATGGTGGCAGTTTCCCAGGAGGGTCAGGAAACTAACTGGCATCGTACTTTTGCTGTCTTCCACCTGATCTCCTGCTCCATTTGGGGGTGTAACAGGAGGAGCCAGCAGAAAAACCGGCTGAGAGGTTCTCGCCAGCAGCTCCTCTCCCATCTGAAGGGAGCTCCTCTTGACATGAGAAAATGGAACAACCATAGAGCTGTGCTCAGGTTACTAGAGGAGTGCAGCCTGCTCTATTTCATTTGCTTTGCACTGTGGGTTGCAGGGCCTTGAACATCATGCGCTGAGGTGATTTGTCTCTGTAATGTCAAGGCTAATACATGTTGGTATATCTGGAGATCAAGACTCTGCTCCTTAGGATCAAATCTTGGTCCTGTGAAGCAGAAGGTGATTAATTGCAGGGGCAGGATTTATGACTTATTTCATACAAGTTATAAATAAAATCCCCAAATTTTGCAATTTCTACCAATAAATTATTTTCCATCTTTTCATGGTGATGTCATAGTCCTACTGCCTGTATTCCTTTCTCTTAGCTTTGACCAATTTGCATGGTCTGTGCCATAAGGACAGGACAGAGGACAAGATCTTCCTTAACTTCTGTCATTTTTCTTGGGGACATCCTGAGACCGTCTTTCACTGTACAGGGAGCAGAGGAGCCTGGAGATGCATCCTCTGGGTTAGTCAGAAGAAATATGCTGGGTCGCTGGATCACTGATCACTTACAACACTGTCAGATACACCAGGGCAGGGTCTCTCTCAGGTGTGTGCAGCCTGAACCCCAGGAGAGAGGGCGAGCAAGGCATTACATAACCTTTCTCATGTAGTATTTCACAGATTCTTTCTTCCCATCTTTCCTTTAATTCAGTCTGTGAGTAGAACTGCAGACAGTGTATGCCAGCCAGACAGAATGGGCTTTGTTGTTTGTATAAAACCAAAATTTTTTCTTCTCTTATAGGAATTACTTGTGGGCTGCATCCCTCAGTAGAAAAAGCAGAGGCCATTTCTACAGGAAGCACATACAGAAGCAACGTAACCTTTGTGTGCAGCGCTGGGTATCATCTTGTTGGACCCCAGAATATCACATGTCTTACCAATGGGAGCTGGAGTAAACCTTTACCATCATGTGAAGGTAAACATTTGGTGTTGTGGCCTGGCACATTCTGATCTGGGATAAGCAGTACCTCCCCCCACGTGCATGTATATCACATAATCCAGGGAGTAAGCTGCTTTCTGGAAGCAATTCTGTAATGTGTGTTAAAAATTGTGCATGATAAATGAAACGTCTCAAAAGGAACAGTGCCTATTACCAAACCATAAGGAGGTTTAGACATCATCTTCCCCTAGGTCTTCATCTGCAGTTTTACAATCTTAGTGAGAGATGACATTGCTTATCATCTGAGAAAATCGAACCATTAACTAAAGGTGATGGACTGTGAGGACATGAAATTTCTCCCAGCAGCCTTCTGAAGTCAGTTGCTACTTTGATATTCTTCCTCTGAATTTCGGGCCCCAAACCCAGCAACAGGATTGTCTCAAGGACAATATCAGCAGCTCTGCCTTTATCTCCACTCTCCTCACTTGAATAAATTCTGTGAGTGAATGATGTACCATTTTGCACTTTAGTGCTTTCAGATGCTCCCTCGGTAGGTCCTGTAGCTTATGCCAAGCAGAGTAAGTATCGAGCAAGAACTGCCTGTGTCATACAGAGTGTCATACAGAGTTGGTGGAAGCAAGACTGTCAACATAAAAATGGAACAAAAACTTAAGGTCCCAAACATGAACAGATAGCCAGTGTTGTTGGATGACTCTGTTCAACATATAAAGTGTGTAGAAGCATAGTAAATTCCAGTATCATTAAGTATGAGTGTTCTCCTTTCCTGGCCTTTTAGCTATGAAAAGGCAAAGTCTGGGCTTCACGCTATTCCTTTCCTTTCAGAAGTACATTTGTCCATTTTTTGCTCATCTCACTTCCTTGGGCTGTCTGCCTGCTGGCTTCAGAAACACAGAAGAGAATCTTGAGGGGAGCAATTAGAAATTTAAGTGTCAGCACCTTCCATCAAACCCATCCTGCATCTCATCTGGTATTTCTTGTCTGTCAAAAAAAGGAGGTTGCAAAGGGCTGCAAGTTTCTGAGGTCTCTCTTAGCAGTGAGAAGGAACCATCTCCATGTTCTGCCCCACATACCCCAGTACGAGGCCATAAATGTGTCCTTCCCTCTCTCTGCCAAATGTTGCTGACCTGATAAATGTGTGGCTGTGGCTTTTCTCTATCACTGGGAGGAGCTCCTTCCCTGACTTGACTGCAGTGCCTTACTGGGGCTACTGAACTGTCCCTCAATGCTCTTCATGGTTTATTAGTCTGTGGCTGCTACTTTAAACATACTGTGTGAGTAACTCAGGAACTGTTGGAAGTCCAGGTCTGATACCAAGCTGAGTTAATGAGAGCTCTTCCTTTGCAGAGACCAGATGCAAAGTTCCACTTTCCTTGCTGAATGGGAAGGCGATTTATGAAAACAATACAGTTGGCAGTACTATAGCATATTTCTGCGAGAGAGGATACAGCTTGGAAGGAGAACCTGCAGCAGAGTGCACAAGGGATGGAAGATGGAGCAATCCCTTGCCTCTCTGTAAACGTGTGTGTTTGCTTTGTAATGAAAAAGAGGTCTCAACTTTTAAGCATTAAAGGCTAGGTTGCTCTTCATTTAAGCTGACAGTAATTGAGAGCAACTTCTGCAGATATTTGTGGAGATGCACTGTAATTTTCTTCTGGAGTGGCCATGAGCAGAATTTGTCACTCATAGTTTAAAAAATTGGTTTGACCTGCATTAGGAGATACATTGGTGTGCATCCTGTTTTTACAAAGGAACAAAGGAAGCAGTTGCTGAGAGATGTTAAAGCATTATCTTGTCTGAATGTATTTTTCTGACAGTAAAATAATAAGCTGTGTTCTGCATAACTCCCTTTAGTTGGAAAGCTGACATTAAATGGAGTCAATTGGATTCAGCCATTTGATATATGAGGAGCAGGTGAGAGAAAGGCATTTGTTCAGCCTTTGGAAGAGAAGGCAAGGACTGACCTTATCGTTGTCTGCAAATGACTACTGGCAGGGTGTAAATAAAAAAGAAACAGACTCCTTTCAGAGGGGCACAGTGGTAGGGTGTGAGGGACTGGACCCAAGCTGCAACAAAGGAAGGTCCAATTAAGTGTTTGAGGAAACTTTTCACTATGATAGCAGTTGAATTCTGGAACAGGGTTCCTGGAGAGGATGAGAAATGTCCATCCTCAGACATACTCACATGTCAGCTGTACAAGTCCTAGAGCAGCCTGACTTAGATGGTCCTGCTTTGAAAAGAAGGTTGGACTAAAGGTCTATATAAATTATCCTGTGATTCTATGAAACAGCACCTTATACATGTGTATACCGTGCATGCATAGCCACAATACCCATCATTGTTGCTGTATCTGTTTGTAACTACTTCTAAGATCTACTCTTGTCTCAAGGTAGTAATTGAGACATTTTAGCTTTTCTACAACAAAGGACTCAGAGGATTTTAGTTTGAGGAATGTGGTATTAATCTGTGCTGCAGGTAAGGTCCAGCCTTTTCCACATTCATGGTGAGAGCAGTAAACCATGCAAAAATACCTCAGCAAGCTTGCAGGCAGTAATAAATAAGGTTATCAGAGAAATTCAAAATTCTAATGCCTCTACGCAAACACCTGGATTTTACGCTGTTTTCTATTGATCCAGGCCCTCAGAACAAGGAATGGAATAAGTTTGATTCCTTTTAAAAGTGGAGTAGGTCTCACTTTTTTATATAAAGGCTATGGTAACCAGGAAGGACAGGAGAGAATGGTGTGATTGTAACATATGATACTCCCCACTTAAGTCCTTAGTATATCTTCCACTGACTTCAATGGAGTACATAGCAAGTCATGTGACAGCAGAGAATCAAATCTTTTAACATTATTTTATAACCCAAATCTCATAACTTTTCATCAAATTACAAATAGGACTTGTGAGTAGCATCCATTTCTATTGCTCTTCATATGATCTGATTTTGAAATTTGCAGAAATAAAGTTCTCTCTTTCTTCCTTCCTTTCCTCTCTTTTTCCTTCCTCTTCCCTCGCACCTTTTCTTTGAACAGCAAACCCTTGTCCTGTGCCTTTCATAATCCCAGAGAACGCCCTTCTCTCCGAGGTGGATTTTTATGTTGGGCAGAATGTCTCCATCAGGTGCAGGGAAGGCTACCAGCTGAAAGGGCAGGCTGTGATCACCTGCAATGCTGATGAGACTTGGACTCCAACAACGGCTAAGTGTGAAAGTAAGTACAGGTGTTGGGGTTCTGCAAGGACACGGTCTGCCTCTGTAGGGCTGGTGGCACGTCTGTGTCGCACAGGAGGGTAACAGCACAGACATATTGGCAGAGCTCTCTAGCTGCCTGGCAGAGAAGGACCTGGGAGTGATGGTGGACAGTGGGCTGAATATGAGCCAGCAGTGTGCTCAGGTGGCCAAGAAGGCCAACGGCATCCTGGCTTGTATCAGAAGCAGTGTGGCCAGCAGGGCTAGGGAGGTGATCGTCCCCCTGTACTCGGCTCTGGTGAGGCCGCACCTTGAGTACTGTGTTCAGTTTTGGGCCCCTCGCTACAAGAAGGACATGGAGGTGCTTGAGCGGGTCCAGAGAAGGGCGACGAAGCTGGTGAGGGGCCTGGAGAACAGGTCCTACGAGGAGCGGCTGAGGGAGCTGGGCTTGTTCAGCCTGGAGAAGAGGAGGCTCAGGGGTTAGCTTATCGCTCTCTACAGGTACCTTAAAGGAGGCTGTAGTGAGGTGGGGGTTGGTCTGTTCTCCCACGTGCCTGGTGACAGGATGAGGGGGAATGGGCTGAAGTTGCGCCAGGGGAGTTTTAGGTTGGATGTTAGGAAGAACTTCTTTACTGAAAGGGTTGTGAGGCATTGGAATGGGCTGCCCAGGAAAGTGGTGGAGTCACCATCCCTGGAAGTCTTTAAAAGATGTTGAGCTTAGGGATATGGTTTAGTGGAGGGCTTGTCAGCATTGGGTCAGAGGTTGGACTCAATGATCTTGACGTCTCTTCCAACCTAGATGATTCTGTGATTCTGTGATAAAGAACAGAGTTTTTATCTACAATTGTCCTATGGAGAGCTGGGTTGCTTCTAGAGACCCTGGCTCATAAAAGCTGTATAAAAGAGCTATATCTTCTTTCTAAGAGAGTTATTTCAGGAAGAAGATCCAGAATATGTCTACAAATTGATGCCCTAGATGCACTCATGCTACTGGCCTTTAGGTTCTGCTGTAATTTCCTTTTCAATTTACCTTTTGCAAGCAATGCAGCTGGGCTTGATTATTGCATACCCTGAATGATTCCAGTGAGATTATGTTGAGACAAGGGCTATAGTGAGAGGTGTTCTTTTATTGTATTCATTGACACTGATACAAGGCATGAAGTCCTTTTTCAGGCTTTTTGGCTTCTTAGAATCAGTATTGATTAGTTGCATCACCTCCCTCTGCAAACCCAGTCTCATGTATTTCCTAGGACCATCTGAAAGTTTCTGCGCTGTCTGGTAGATATAGTCATTGTTGCATTACTTAAAATTGCTGTTGCTGGTCTTCTCCATGCTTTGGTCTTCTCCATGCTTGCTGGCACACACGTGGGAGTACATACAGTTTCACCCTGTGGGTACCTGCACTGTGGAGAAGCCCTGCATTTTCATCAGAGGTGTCTTAGCACCTTCTGAGTCCTGTGGGCAAAGCACAGAGTTGGAAACCACGTCATGCAGGCATTGTAGCTCACCAGCCTCTGGGTGATTTCTTTTGTTTAGAGATATCTTGCGGGCCCCCAGCTCACATAGAGAATGCTCTCATCCATGGTAGCTTCTATCAGTATGGAGACGTGATCACCTATTCCTGCTACAGTGGCTACATGCTGGAGGGGCCCCTGCGAAGCATTTGCCTAGAAAATGGAACATGGACAACACCACCTACCTGCAAAGGTAAGTAGTTTTTTGAACAGAAGTATTTCTTAACTAGCCATAAGCATGGAGGTGTCATCCTAGCTGCAGCAGAAACAAAAGCCAAATTCTTGCTGGTTTCAATGCAGCTGTGATTTCACCTACATTTTAAGTGCAGGGTGTCACTTTTTATTTCCAGGTGAAAAGAGTACTTCCTCAATTTTTCTCTCTAGTCCTTGCTAACCCTATGGTTTCTCTTCCTACAGTGTTGTATCCCACACTTTAGATTCTCTTTGCCACATTTTTTGTAAGAAGGATACAGATACAGAACTAACTAGTCATCTTGTTGATATGCTAGGGTATTTCAAATAAAGCACTCCTGGTCATTTTTTCAAGCACTGCATAAAAGACAAGTAGATCAAATGGGTGCCTTACCTTTCCATCCTTGACTTCTATAAATTACAGAATTAACTCTTTCACACTGAAGATTCATATAAAGTATCAATTTTAAGCAGAAAATGGGGAAACCAACACAGAACATAGACAAACTATGCAGTAAAAAACAGATATAAGAATATTCGAGCACTAACTGAAAACAAAGGGTAAGGCATAGCAAAAGTGTCCAAAGGTCACACAGCTGTCATGGAGGAGACCTTGACATCTGCCATTTCCCCACCAGAAACTTGACTAGCCCTCCTGCTGCCGGCTCACTATGTAGCTGTGTGGGTTAGTTGTAGCCTTGAAGCCTTACCTCAGATAGTGTTACAGCCATTACAATATGAACTGAGCCTTAGGTGTTCTGTGCAGAAACATGAGCATTAGAAGTCACATTCCCATAGCTCGAGAATTCCTGCAGAAGAGAAGAGGTGCCAGAACATTGATCTGGGAACATCAGAGTCGTAATCGAAGTTGTCAGGTCTGCCTCTGCTCTTGCAAGTGTCTCAGCATCACATGCCTAAAATTGAAGCAGAAATACTTCCTCCTTTGCCATCTTTCTGTTTGGATCAGAAACCCCTTGGTGCTGGAGGTTTCTATACAGTGCTTAGCCTGAGTAACCAGGGTCCCTTTGGTACTGTTTTTTTGTTGTTGAATTCTGCCACCAAAACATGAATGTCAAGACCCAGATAATTTGAGTTGCCCTCCTGTGTGAAAGCAAGCACTCTGTTAAAGTGCCAAATGCAATAGCTAAAATTTCCTTGCCTAAAAAATCACAGATCAGCAGGTTGTTTTGAGAAGGCACATTGCCAGTGAAGTGGAATTGTAACTCCTGAGCATTACAGGAATAGAGAAGCTGCTTCTGAAAACCATCCTCTTCTTAGTAATGTGCTCATGGTTTGGCATTGCCCCAAAGAGTAGGCTGTTGAGCAGCCAAGTAGAGGAGATTTATGGTAAAAGCACCTGAGTTATGTCAGATGCCTGGAGTTATCCAAAAGTCATTTTGGAAACTAACCCTCACCAACAATCAAGTCCTTTCTGAAAAGCTTACCAAGTACTTTACTATTTCTTTCTAAACTGTAGTGGCTACAGAAATCAAGGGATCTCTGCACAATAGCTACTCTACCTAAGCTAGGTATTTATTAGCAATTTATCTTTTTTATGTTATCTCCAGACTATAACACTGTGCATTCTTCATCTGCCTCCTTAATATCATCAGTTTTAGTTTTTACTCTTATTTACTAGTTTTTAGTTACACAGAATTTAGTTACCTTATGCCAAGGGCTGTAGTCTTCTGCTAAAAGAGGTTCTTGACATTGTTGGCTAACAAACCGAAAGGGATGATATGCAAAAAAACTGTCAAGCATCCTGTTTCCAATACCACTGAATTCATGGGACAATTCAAAGGAATGAGTGTTGGGATTAATTATTTTGAAATGCAAAGTGATGAGGTGGACAGATGATCAGGGTTGTGCAAGTAAACGAAGTGGAAAAACCTGCCTTGTGGTATATTAAGGGAGAAAAATAACAATTCCCCCCTCCCCCCTTTCACCTAAAAGGGAAACTAAAAAGGACCAAAGATGCTTCTGAGGGGACCGATGTGTTTTCATGACACATTTCAAAATAATCTTTCAGAACTGCTTTATAATTCATTTGGGGGATTTGCCTAACAAAAGGGCCTACAGGACCCAAGCCTTTGTGGCGTACATCAGAAGCAACATGAAAGCACTCTTTGCTATGATTCATCCTGCATTTCTTCTCTTTGGCTCTGTGAGCTGATTATTAGTATGTCCTAAGCCTGCTTGAAACATACTGGCCCGGTTGAACAGGTTAGTTAACGTAAATATTGTAATTAAAAAGCAGACTCTGTTGGCTTCTGTGGGAGAGCTGTAACCACAGCTGCACTTGGCTATTGCAGGCCAGATTCTGATCTGAGTTTCAGGGGTGAGAAGTATTAGGCTGGATCTGACAAATGTAAACACCTGTGGGACTCATCAGCCTTCACAGATTCACACAGCTTGTCGAACTAACTCCTCTCTCTCCTCTCTGAAATGCTCTAAAATCTGTGTCAGGAATTTGCTTGGAGAGATCTTCTGGCATGGTGCAGCTAACCAAAAGGTTGGTACCCAGCTAGCAGACAAGCATTCTGAGGGGCAGCAGAGGCATCAGGAAACTGTTCACAGAAAAGCTTTTTGGCAGAACAGAAATCTTTTTTTTTTTTTTACCTCTTCTTACCCAAATTTGTCTTGCAGCAGTGTAATGCTTGGAAATAACTATCAGCATGGATTTATAAGGGTGGAATCTCAACGATTAAGATTGATACTGTGAATGTGAGATGTGCTACCAGAAGCTGCAGTTAATGATTGCCGTTTTTTCTCCAGTAGATCAGGATTGCACTTCTCCTGCTTGCTTTCACAGAAGCTGAAAAAGAGAATGAGATCCAAGCTTAACTTCTTGCTCCAAGCTTTTCTCTACTTTTGTCTGCTGAGTGAATAATAATCCCTACAGCTACAGACACATAGAGCCTCTCCCTGTGTAAACTGGTGTATAACAAGAGCACAGCTAGGGATGGTACTTACTAATTCAGAGTTTCACAATGAGGGGTCCTTGGCAGAAATCCAATAGAAGCATACCTCTGACTGAGATCCTGAATCCAAAGCAACTTCTGTAACTCATGAAATGTCTACATCTTCTCCATCAACAGTGTGAGAGAGAATAAATTCCAGAAACCATGTAGGGGGCGGCCTTGAATTTAACTTGGCTTTTAATTTATATACCAGCCCTTTACTTACCATCCCATTATACTTTCATGGAATATCTTTTCAGTGTTCTGGATCACAGATGCCTTCAAAACTTCAAATGCTTTTTGATTCAACTTTCATAATTTTTCATTGCACGGAAGAAATCTGTTTGGCGCACTATTCCACTTCAGTCAACACCTAGAGACAAGCTGTCTGTATATTCTTAGATATCTTTACAACAAAGATCATTCCAAATACCTCTGAAAATACTGCAACTTCTGTGAACCTGTCAGGTCATAAGGTCTCTTCCCAATCTCATTATCAGATGACATTTGATGGGAAAGTTCTTGAGTTTTTAAGAAAGCTAAAGCTTCAGCTAAGGCTTTCAATGGAGTCCAAGCTGTAACTTGCAGCTTGGCATGGTTTAGTTGCAAGAGTGACTCAAGCTCTGCTCTGTCAGTGCAAGATTTGCATTCTTTCCAGTGTGGAAGTCAGGTCTGAACCAGTGTGCTACACCACTGCTTGTAGTTAATACTAACATTGAAAAAGATCTGAAATACTTTCAAAGCCTAAACACATTATTTTGCTCAGCTGGTAACTAATTAAAGATAGGATGCAATTAACAGTTCAGATTGAGTTTCCTGAGGTTACTCTGTGTTCATAACTACCACTAATTAGAAGTTTGTCTGATTACTTATTTGTTCTGTAGTACCATCTAGAAGCCACATTTTTTGATCTTATGTATATGGCATGTACATCAACATGAGAGGGATTGTACTTGCTCCAATGATCTTTAATATGTTTGTACTTAGCTTGCCACCCAGTTTTTTAAAGTAGTCCTGGTTTTCCTGGAAATACTAGCCAAGACACAGCGCAATGTTGTACAAAAGATGATGATGGAGTCCAAAGCCTGTTGAGTTCAGGCAACTTACTGGGGTGGTGTGTTAGAGCCCGCTTCAAATTCATCACTTGTGTGATCAAGTATTTATTAGCAGGTATGTGAGCCATGGAGCAGCAGTCAGCATGAATGCTGAATGAGGCTTGTAATCATGCTTTTGGTTCCACAGGTAAACACTTTGCTGTGCCACTGTTGCACCCAGTGTAGGGCACTCCTCATTCCTCTGGATGATACTGCAATAAAAATTCCATGTGCAACCACAGTGTTTTATCTCACTTTTGACAAACCCTGTGTTATGCCAGACAGCATTATCTTGGTGCTTCATACCAAGGTTAGAAGAAAGCTTGATTTTATCAAGAGGAGGAAAAAAGTGGGTAATAGTTTTTGTGGGGGGAGAAAAAACAAGTAGAGCACAGTGTTAGCCTTGAAGCGTTGTCCAGATAATTTACCAGACCATCCTAAAAACATTATTTTTCATTCTTGTCATTGTTCAAGGACATTTTTAGGTTGTTTTAATGGTAAATAAAGAGGAAAGTATTATGTATTGTATGCTTCCCTCCGTACTCTTGCTCACCGTACCTAGTCACATGCACACAGCTAGGAAACGATGTTGCCCTTGAAATCAAAAATAAGTTAAACTTCAGAACTTTACTGTGTTTGTTTGTCCTACGTGAAACCTTACAACGGCAAAAATCTGTCTAAGATTCTGAATTATTGATTTTCTAATTCACCTTCTTGAGGTGGTCATGAAATCGTTCTGTTTTCAGCTGTCTGTCGGTTCCCGTGTCAGAATGGTGGGGTCTGTGAGCGACCAAATGCCTGCTCGTGTCCGGATGGCTGGATGGGTCGTCTCTGTGAAGAACGTATGTATCATCCATTAAGCATAATTTTTAAGGATGTTGTAGGTAGGACAAATGAATTTACTGCCAAGTGGGAAAATTACAGGCCTAAGAGCCAAAAACATAAAAATCATAACTGTGTTCTGCTTGACAAATTAGACTAGAAATGACTAAGCAATTGCTTGTTTCTAGACAAATGACTGTCCTCTAACACCTATAAAAAGATAATACAGCTGTGATAATAATAGCTGCTCAGATAATACGGCTGGGGCACCTTTTCCATCCTGTCCTTCCTGACCTGTGTTCCACTGCCCCACAAATGCTGGGCCGGCTTTTCCTGGCCTGGGCCATTGCGTAACTGGAGAACTGGATCTGTTCTGGTTGGGAACAGTCAAATCTGACCTCTGGGCATGTCAGAAATTCTATGGGCAGCGTTGGAGATGCCAGATTTTGCCATATTTCCCATTTCCTTGGCAGTGCTCTTTACAGAAAGGATTGGTGCTGTCCGCCGCCAAGCGTGCGGACTCGGCCCTGTATGTTGGGCATTTTCAGCAGGAGGGGGGTTGAGCCCTGTGCCTGGCAGCATCGTGTTGGCAATGCCACAACTTTATTTCCTTACCTTAATGTTAGCAACAATACCTACTGCATTCTTCAGAACCAGAAGACATGCCCCTAGACGTTTTGATCTGTCATCCCAGTTCTGACCCTGTTTTCCTATACGGGGAAAATGAACAGACAGCTGACTGGTTAGATTACAGTTCAGGCAGACACAGGCAATAGCCCTCTTTTTTTTTTTTTTTTCTTTACTTTGACATAGGTAGCGAGGAGGAGAGGCTTCCCACAATTGGTTAATGCCACCTTGATTCTGCGTTATTGCTTGTCAAGCAAGGTACAGCAGTGAACAGAAAAGTTAGGTTTAGTCTTTGGTGCTGACGGCCTGTTTTGCAAATCAGAGGGCTTTTTGAGTGTAGCACTGAGCACTGATCTGTCAGGGCCAGGCCCCAGGTGAGGCCACAGGATTTGGAAAGAATCCGGTCGCTTCCTACTTCACGGTACATTTCACAGGTAATAAGAGAGGTACATCTTCCTGAGAAGGGCCTGACTACCTGGAAAAATGTGCAGAGCACTACTCATTTAGTGATACAGACAAGAGTAAATCTTGGTGATATAGATTAGTCCCTTGAACTCCCAGAATTTCATTATTCCTTTCTTACCCAAGCTGACTGTACCTGCTCAGCTTGATCTCTGCTATGCAGCAGAAGAGGAATAAACTGTGTCCATCAGTCCTCTGCAGCCCCCATCAATCCTCCCAGAATAAAACTCCCCTGCAAGTGCCTCACATGGGTCCACATTTGAGGCCCAGCTCAACTCTTGCTCCTGTGAGAGCATGTTCACACAGGTACTCCATTCAGTTAGGGTAGTAGAGATGGTAATTTTATGAAGGTCCTTAAATCACAGAAATCATTGAATTGCATGGGTTGGAAGGGACCTCAAAGATTACCCAGTTCCAACCCCCCTAACATAGGCAGGGATGCCACCCACTAGATCAGGTTGCCCAAAGCCCCATCCAGCCTGGCCTTGAGCACCTCCAGGGATGGGGCATCTGGGCAGCCTGGGCCAGTGCCTCACCGCCCTCTGAGGGAAGAATTTCCTCGTAACCTCTCATCTAAATCTCCCCTCTTTTAGTTTAAAACCATTTTCCCTCATCCTGTCATTATCTGATTGAGCAAAGAGTTGCTCCCCATCTTTTTTATGAGTCCCCTTCAAGTACTGAAAGTTACTTAAATCCTTTATGTACATAAACCTTTATGTACAAAAGTAGATAAATCACAAACAGTTTGCATATTGCAACATCTTGTAGATCTCCTCATTGGCACAGCATGGGTTGGTTGGTCATGGGCCATCAACTACTTGGTATAACGCAGCAGTTCTCTGGTGCCTTTGTTCCCCAAAGCTTGCAGCCACAGTCAGCCCGTTGCACCTGAAATGCCTTGTCCTGCTGGAGACTGGGAGGCTTGTGGTGTCACCTGTCCCAGCATGTTTTCCCTGGCCCAGACCAGGGCTTTCCTACGAGCAGCATGTAGTTCCCTCGTTTTGGATGTTACACTGTGGGATCTTAGGTTCTTTTCTTACACACCCTCCTCTTCACTTGCCAGAGGTTATTATTCTTACTGGTTCTCTTCCCTTCTCCTTAGCAATATGCATTCTGCCATGTCTCAACGGAGGTCGCTGTGTGGCTCCTTACCAGTGTGACTGCCCTGCTGGATGGACTGGAGCACGATGCCATACAGGTAAAACGCTTCTTACCTACATTTTTCTCTGCACTTTTTGTGACTCCTCTGTCAATGTGTAGCACAGTTTACTAAGGACTCTGTAGCAACTACCAGGCTTCTCTCAGGAAAACCCAGCCCTACAATAATATTCCCTGAGCGTTGCTGTCCTCAGCTGCAAACTATTTTCAGAGTAGTCCATGATGCATCTTAACAATCCTCAGAGAAATTTAGTTCCAGAAAGGACAAACAGCATTCAGAAGAGGGCTGTCTGCAAAAAGCAGTACAGTGGAGAGAATATTGTATATGAGCTTCTCAAAAGAGCCTGTACATTGTTTTATGTACTCACTCATCATTGTACAGATTTCACCACTGGACTCAGAAGCAAGTTGCAAGTTTTGCTGAGGCTTCTCAACACATAGCTGTATGGTGTGGGGGCAGGTGAAGCTGATTTGCAATGAGGGGTAACATTTTGAACCAAGGTTTGGCATACTTGCCTCCACAACAACTCTGAATAAAAGGCAGCTTTCTAAAGGCTTATCTCTATGGAAGTAGCCAACAAAACTCATAGTGACAGAGTGATCACTGAAATGTCTTTCAATCATTACTGAATCTCAATCATTAGTAGATGTTAACTACTTTTTTATTGTTATTATTATAGAGTTTGCTCACTGTATTTTTGTTGTTCAGGTGCACCTTAACTGAGGCTAACAGGGCCTTGACATGAAAGCTGGGCTTTGCTTTCCCGTAGGTCTTTCGAGTGGTTAATTGGGTGAACTCCAGGAAGAATGCATGCTATTGTTAATGAATGTTCATGCTCAAAATTTCAGAGTAACCAATTTAACTCAGAACTGCTGTTTTTTGAAGGGACACTAGCCTAGCACGTAATGCTGTATTTCCTCAAGTATTTCAGAAAGTTTGCAGCTGTAACAACATAAGTACTTGAGGAGAACAGATAGCTTTTTTAGTTCTGGGCCAGCAATTCAAATCTGTTCAGGCTGAGTTGCTTTTCAGTAGCTCAGGAAAAAAATCTAGTGGACAACTCCGTCTGTGCCAAAATCCATTCAACAAAGTACACAAGCACCATTTATGAAGTTACTACACCAACTCTCGTTTCACTTCCTGGTTGCGACACTGTACCATAACAGAGCAAAGTGAAATGGGAAATATTTGGATTACCTGCTGCTCTCACGGGAATAATTAGATACATGAGGTGAGAGGTGAAGATGTTTCATTCATATTCTTCATTCCAGAATCTGAAGTCATTTTCAATATGAGAAACCCGGCACACTTAATTGCACAGGGATGGTCCCTCTTTATAACCTCCTGTCATTGTTTGCTTGTGTTTTGGCCCAGAGGAAACGAGTAGAGTATTTCCATCTCCTTTACACATTCCTGGGATTACTCATTTCCATTTCCTGTAATTCTATTCTAGTCAGTGTTTCCGGTGATGCATATTACTGGCAGAAGTACCACCCAAAGTTTGTCTTCCCTGGTGTCTTTAAGTCTATCCTCTTAATATGGTGTTATCTGCTTAAAAGACTTCATGCTTTTCAGCAACCTGGTGTTAGAAATGTTTGTGTAGGAAGGAGCTCATTAAGAGAGTCTCTGAATCTGTTGTGTAAATTGTGTGGTGCTTTTATCTCCTCGTCTCAAAACTGATAGGAAGACTCAAAGCTTTCACTTTCTCTGTTTGGCTGCCTGATACCTTGGGTTTGGCGGGGACTGTTAGTGTTAGGTTAGAGGTTGGACTCGATGATCTTGAGGTCTCTTCCAACCTAGAAAATTCTGTGATTCTGTGATTCTGTTTCCCAGCTGACCCAGCGCTGTCATATGAGGAAGGCTAGCACTTGCTCTCCAGTTCAAATGCCCCGTACCACCTAGTCACACATCTTAGGGATGTCCAGTGCCTGTCAGGAACTTGCTGTCACACTCTGCTTACTTTCCCTGTCTCCATAGAGGTGTCACTGTGTGAACTCTTACTCCTTGCCTGCTGTTGATGTGTAAATGGCTTTTTGACCTTTAGCTCCCTGTTTGTTCTACCTCTTTCTGGACTTTTTACCACATCTGGTTTCTGCTTCTCCTGGCTGCTGTTCAGCCATCACATTCCTGTCAAATAAACATCTACATTTTCTTCCTAGAAATGAGGCCTATTTTTCTGTTGATTTTATGATTTTTCTCTTCTAATCCCTCCTCCTGCTCCCACTTGCATTCCTTTTCTGCCTCAATCTGGGGCAAAAAGAACAGAATTTTTAAAGGCAAGATAAAAACGTGTACTGGCTTTTCCATGCAGCTCATACAGTGCAACAGACAGCAGAAGCAGCAGAGAGGTTTGAATCACATTCAGCAGAAGTGAGCCTCTAACACTGCCCTTCCCAGAGTAAACCATCTTTTACAAGAAACCCAAAGCTGACATTTGCTGCTGTAGCTTTGAGACCAGCCTGTTTGTAACAAAACAATGCAGGCTGGATTTCCAGCGTGCCATTCCTTAACAGCCTGGAGTTGGTGTTCTCATTAACACAGTCTGTGTGTGCATTTGTACGCAGCTGTTTGCCAGTCGCCTTGTTTAAACGGTGGGAAGTGCATACGGCCAAATCGATGTTATTGCCCCTCATCATGGACTGGACATGATTGCTCTAGGTAAGTGTTGCTGAGCGCTCTCCCATGGCTATGCTGTTTGGCTCTTACTGAGCAGTAATTCTGAAGAATTGCAATTAATTTTGCAGCAGAGCATCTCTAGATCCTGTAAATCAGTGGTAATTGGACAACTCGCTCGTTATGGGCAGTCTGAAAAGACCTTAGAGACTGCTTTGCCAAGTGGTTGCCAAACATACAGAAATCACAGGCAATGGTGCATTTATGTGTGAGCAAGCAGGCAAACCTGCAAGGTTTAGCCTTATTGTAATGCTGTAAATGGAGGTGTTTGCTGTGATGTAATACAGGATGTTCTTCAGGAAAGTCGGGTTGCCTGCTCTCTGCAAGCATTCAGTCTGAACTCTGTATGCCTCAGCTTGAAGGCTAGGGTCATGCAACCAGCGTTACAAATGATAATTCTTCTTATGCTCAGTGTTGGGTGGTATCATTGTGTGGGGTAAAACGCAGTGCCTCTGAGTCAAGTCCCAGCTCAGATTGCCTGACAGTGCCATCCCTGTGTCAGGAGCCACAAGGACTGGGCGTAGATCTTGTTCACGTATGCTGCCTTTTGCAGAATTTTACCCATGCTTGTGCTTTGGTTTGCTGATTCATGTCTAACAGGGCCAGCAGCGGAGGTCTTCAAACCAGGAGTTGCCATCACAATGCGAGGCAGCATTTAAAAGTCTTAATTGCAGCTTTGCTTTTTAAAGATGATTTGTGAAGTTGGGGCATTTGGCTTCCAGGGGAGTCTGAGCAGGACCTAGCTTACTTTTGGGAAGCTGCTTTGTTCCACACTGCCATTAGGAGCCATTTACAGCCCTGGAGACGGAAGGCAGGAGGAATTGCAAGGGTGTTGTTGTGGTCAGGAATCAGATATAATAACACAACATGCAGCACAAGGTCTCTGCTCCCCACGTGGAAGATTATTGAGGGCCATGAAACACAAACTGGCAAAAATATCTGTACCTCAACTCCTCTCCAGCCGTGCCTGCCTGTCTCACTGATTTACCATTCATCTTAAGGCTCTGGATGAGCTACTTGCTTTAGCAATTGTGTTGTCCAAAATGAATAGTTTTCATTTGTGCTTATATATATATATAAGCGAAGCAGCTTAAATTTACTGCCAACAAGCAGTATTTGACTGTAGGCTGAAAGTTACAGATCCAAAGTCTGATAATATTTCCATTTAGTATATGAGGCAGGTGAGCCCAAATTCACTGGATTCATCTGCCAAAAATTCTAGAGTTTATCACTGACAATAACTTTCTGAGAGTTTCAGGCTGTTACCAAACTGGACTCCTCTTGTTATTATTTTTTTTCTCTGTGTGTGTGTGTGTTGTTTGGTTGGTTTTGGTTTGGTTTGTTTTTTTTTGTTGTTGTTGTCTGATTGTTTTTTTGTGGTGTGGTTGGTTGTTGGGTTTTCTTTGGTTTGGTTTTTGTTGTTTGTTTTTTTCGTGCAGGTCCACAGCTACCAGCAGCATTGTGAAACCCAAGAGAAGGTGGACCATTGGCCCTGTAGGCTTGTGGTCCAATAGCTCACCCCTTCAAGGGTTGTTTGAGAGGAGACTTCCCACACAGAACCGGAGGGGCTGAGGGAAGATGGCAGAAACAGGCAGTCGGATCTGTTCTGTGTTTTGTTAAACATTGGCCTCGCTCCCGGTGGCTCTTTACAGGGTAGGACACTGTGCTGAGGACTCAGAAACTATACAGGCAGAACAGGAGTAGGTGCCACGATAGCAAAGATTCACTGTTGCTGGTTAACTAGGTGTGATTTACAAGGGGAAGTTGAAAGGGCCAAAAGCTTTTATCAGCATCCAGGAGTAGACGAGCTCCAAACCAGTCCATGATGAGTCACGGTTTACATTAGACATCATCTCCCTCCCTTTCCCTCTCTATGTAGTGCCTTGAGCTACGGCCCTCTAATCCCTGGTGCAGTTTCAGACACCTTCACCACATGCCTCGCTGTTGATCTTCCTCTGCATGCTCACCGCAGCACTGACATTGTTTTGTTTGTTTTGTTTTGACACAGGAAACGGAAGGCTGGATTCTATCCCTTTTAACAGCAGAGCAGCAGTTTTACACTCAGAAACCTTTCTTCAACCTAGGTACCAGGGCTTGGAATCTAATGCAGTGTAAATCACATCCATCGCTTCCCTTCCCCCCAGCTCCCTTGTTTTGTATTTTTTTTTTTGTGATATATTTTTTCTATACACTCCATTTTAAAAGAAATCCTCTGTATTTTCCATTTACAAAAGTATTATCAAATATATGCTGCTACACACACACCATACACACATACACACATACCAAGGCAAAGATTCCTCCTGTCCGCTGAGGAAGGAGTTGTGTATGGCGAATGGTCCCTCCCATTTCTTACACACAGTAAGCTAATTAAAACGTACTATACTGCCAACCATGATTAAACAGAATAATGTGGCAATCGTCTGCTTATCACCTGCCAAGGCACATTGAAGTCCAGCAATCCAATAGTAAGGAGTAGTTACGTAAGGCTAACCAGGCAGCTAAACGTCGCGTCAGGCCTGTTTCTGAACTCAACGCTGATGTAAATTAGAGGTACATCTGATAAAGCCCGTATTGTAAGCAGAGTTTCTGGTAGGCATAAGAACATGCTGTAATGTTCGTTATGTGACGCTAATGTCCTTGGAAAGAGACTTAATGGAAGGCATTGACGTGGATTTTACCTGAGCTTTGTCGGTAAAATAGTCAAAAATGTAAAAGAGATGAGAGAACATCATTTCGTCTGGAGAAAGGCAGGCAATGTCTAGGCAACAACAGCCTCTGAGGCTTTTTGATTTACAGGCAGCTCAGGTTTCACTCGAGGGCTGGATAATCCAGGGTGCAGCAGTGGGCAGCGGTCAGACCGCCGAAACCACCGCGTCCCACTTGGAAGGGGACTCAACACCCCCTGCCTGCAACCAGCACCCCTTTCCTGAGAAAACTACGCAGCACATGTCTAGCAGCTGCCTGAAGTTTGGCTAGCCCTGGAGGAGGGAGAGAAGGCACAGTAGTGTTTACAGGAGAAACTTTGCAATGTGCTTACAGCAGGGTGGTACTTGCATCACGCAGAACCCTCAGAGAACTGGAAAAGGCCTCTCTTGAACACACACACACGGGCAGGAATGCCCAGCTAGGGAAAAGAAATACTGAGAGCTCACATGCTGTCAGATTTCTCTTTTGCACACTGCCGATCCCATTGCATGTGAGAGCAGCGCGTACTTGAGCGCCGTCATTAAGTCGTGCTCTAATGAACCGCGGTGCCCAGGCTTACCCACGGTTCAGCAGTGTGGTGAAATTGTAAGGTGGAAATCACACACATGTGTTGAGGTCAAATGTTTGCTGATTGTCATCAGATCGCTGCAAGTCTGACCTGTGAAGGAAGATGTTAGAGTGAGAACCTGAGAATCATTTGTCAGAAGCTCAGTTTTTCCCCAGTAATGATAACAAAGCATGATTGGCAGCCAACACCACAAAAGAAGGAGTAAGAATATAAAAGAAAATAAATTTTGTTCTCTGCAGCATTACTGCTTAGTTACCCTCTGGATTATGAGTGTGCACACCCTGCCCCACCCTTTCCCCCTTTATGAATTTACCTTCCTTTTATGAATGCATGAGAGAAATGTGATATGACACAAAAATGAGCTAATAGTTACGGGAGTAGGCCACTAGAAAATACTGACACATAACTGATGGCTGTTACGACCAAACAAGACCAAGACCGAAACAAGTGAACGTGAAAACCCCAGAGGAAACAAGTCAAGCTGTGAGCCAGGAACAGCTTGCAGCCAGCTGGAAGAAAAGCAAATAGGTAAGGAAAAAGAGTTGTTAAGGGGATGAGCCAAATTTTTCTGTAGGTTCCTTCCCGGTGGGAGCTGCAGCCAGCTGAAGAGTCGTTCCAGCTCCTGCAAGCTTCTTTTTTCTCATGGATAACACGTAGCCACAATCTTCTGGCTCCCAGCTCGACAGCCATCAACGTTTACAACTCTGGTTCAAGGTGGTGTTTAATAAATGATACCCACGCTTCATCACATAGTCGCCACCACGTGTCGGCACTTACTTTCCTTGACCTTCTTGCTGCTGTGAACAGTGGATGAACGGGCGCCGCAGTGAGCAACGTGGCATACGTCAAGGGAAAGAGTGCCTCGGCCAGAAAAGCAGATCTTTATTTATGTCACTCTCATGTTTTTAAAAAGTCGATGGTCCCGTTTTCAGTGTGCTTCTCTGGTACGTGCCCTCACTGCCCTGGTGATCTCCGGAGCAAGACAGCTGTGGTTAGGAAGGTGCTCGGAGCTGGCAGGACATCACTGGAGACTTTGGGGGCCGAGGGTTGGCTTTTAGCACTGCAGCTTCACACTAGTGACTAGTACATGGAGTTTGGGGATATACTCAGTCAATACGTTTCATAAGCTGATGTGGTGGTAGGACAGAGTAGCTGAAACTATAGGCTGTTATATTAGTGCTGTTGATGATGCTTTGATACTCGCTGGAACATTTTTCCCTTCCCCGTTCTGTGCTGTATTGTCATTTATGTCACTGCTTGTGTGTGTTAAACGACTTCTGTGTGATGCACTTTACACTGTAAATAAAGTTGCACCCTGTTTAGTACCCATATAGAAGCAACATCGCTTTTTTATTTTCATAGCACCTAGCAACAAAAATGTGTAGCTACCCTTTTGAACCTGCTGGAAGATCACAAGCACTGTGGAAACAGAGCTCCACTCAGGGGAAAAGATGAAATAATTGCCAGTAATCTGAGATACGTGTGCTGGATTATCCCAGGTCCTGAGATTAAAATGCAGTTAGCAGGTGATTTTTCAGATCCCCTCTGCTGTTAGAGTGCATTCCGAAACCCGTAGGGGCTGAGCTTATCCTTGGCACCAACAGATCCTACAAAACCTGCTCCACTCACTGCTGACTCCAGATGGAGATTCAGCTCGCGCCGTTCTGCACTGGCAGTGGAATTTTTAAAGCCATGGAGACTGAGAGGCGATTGAGGTAGAAAGTGTGCAATAACAGAAAGGAAACTGTGACTCCCACACCACACCTCCACACAATTATACGACATCGCAGTGAACAGATTAAGGGTGTGGGTTTTTTTGTTTTTTTTTCAGGTAAATTAGTAAGCCTTTCCATGCTTTGATAGATGGGTGTAGTAAGAGGAGATTTCGGAGTGTCCAAAGCAGAGCTTCAAAGCCTTCCCGTCACCCGCCAGCCCAGACGCAGGCATGAGGTTATGGAGAGTGCTGCGAATGAGGCCCTGAAATCTGATGTGCATCTGATAGGAAAGAGGCAAATCTACAAACAACATTAATCCCCCAAATACTGCTGATAATCCCAAGTGGGAACAGCAGTGGGCTGCCCTCGCGCGTGGGCTCTCAAGCCGTAGAAGCAGAGATCACAGCCCTAGGTAAAAGGAGGAGCGGTGGGAGCAGGGCCCTCGCCCTGCCCTGAAAGTCAAACAAGCTGAAAAGCTGGAGGGAGCTGCTGACACTTGTACCTCTCTGCAAAAGATGCTGCTCCTCACGGGGTGATGGATGTGGATCTGGGGTGCAGGATAGGCTGGGGATGGACCGGGGTCACCCCCTTGCCCTGCATGCGTGGCCTGGTGGAAAGGACACCCGGTTCTTCCCTGCGAGCACTGGGCTGTCACTTCATCTTCCCCTTTCATGGGAAAGACGACCCTTTTTTTTCTCCACCAAAGCCCTGCCGATGAAAGCAGGTGAGATTTAAGCACGATTATCATCATTACTCAGGGCAGGCCTCCCTGCAGAGCCCCGAGGGGAGCCTAAATACCTTCAGACAGGGAGCGTTTTCCCATGGGGGAGCCCAGGGGCTCAGCTCCAGACCTGAGATAGCTTTTTTGGGGGCTGGATGAAAGCACGGGCAGGAACATGGCCTTGCCACCCCTGCTGCTCACCTCAGGAGTCCGGTTGGATTTTATTAAATAGCTGGGGTAACAATCTGGGGTTAGGGATAGACAGCTCATTAATTAATCCTGCTGGTAATGAGCAGGGAGGTGCTGGGAGCAGCTGCGGGAACAAATTACATAAAGGGAGGATGATCGTATTAAGGGGGGAAATGACGTGAAATTAAAGTTGGGAATGACAAGTCGGTGCTTCTTGAGAAAAATAAATAAATAAATAAATAAATAAATGACATAAAACGAATGTGCCCCAGGCGTGAGGGCAGGCCTCTGCTTTGAAGAAGCTGCTGCTTGCTTGCAAATGTGCATCTGCTGCCAAAGAAGACCCCCTAATGGAACAGGGTGGAAATAAATAAAAATAAATAAATAAAAGTCAAAAAAGCCTTCAAAGGGAGCCAAAACCACTCTTCCACTTCCCGCCCGATTATTTTGCATGGAGGGGGTGATGGTGTCCAGCTGGCAGGCTCGGGGCACGCTGCTGTGGCTGAGCACCCCCCAGGCACCTGGGACAGGAGAGGTGATGGCTTTTTCACATCCTATGGAGGTGCTTTTCCCTTTTTTTTCTGCTTGCAAGGAGGGACTGAGGCTCCCCAGCTATGCTGCCAGGGCGGGAAGGGATGGTTTGCACAAGGTGTTCATGCTTGCCCCTTTTCAGCCCGATCCCTTTTGTTTTTCAGATGGCTTTTCCAGTCTGCCCAGCTCGCTGTCAGCCCTGCTCCCGCGCTCTAGGGCAGTGCCTCCCAGCTCAGCACCGCCTGCTGAGGTCCCGTCCACATCCTGCAGAGACTTGCCTCGAGGACAAGGGAGCTCCTGGCCAGCAGTGCTGCGGGGACAGGGTGCTGCAAGGCGCTCTCCCAAAAAGCTGCTGTTTGAGGAGAGGCCCCAGCCCCACGCAGGAATGCCCTGCCGGTGCATCCGGGCTGCATCTGCGCAGGGCTGGTCGCATTTCTGAAGGGCTTTTGCCCCTCCTGCAAGGGGAAAAAGCTTGCTGGCACTCCCTGTGAGCAGCAGCAGCATGTCAGGGCACGAGGAAATCTGCGGGCTGAGGAGTAGCTCCGCGTGCCGCCCAGCGGGGCTCCTCCTGGAGCCAAGGCGCCTGAGAAATAACCTGGCGCCTTGCTGGAACTGCCTCTGTCCCCCAGCCAAGCCACTCATCCTCGGGAGGAAATGGTTTTGAATGGTTTTGAGAATGGTTTTTCCCCAGAAACTCATCATCAGGACTCAGGCTTGCTGTGAACCCCTCTGCCGGAGAAGGGCTTTGCTCGGGAACGCGCACAGAAGGAGCACACGCACTTCTCCAAAAATCCATTCAGCTCTAAAACAAGAGGGCCGGGGATTCACAGAACATGTTTTTCCTCATGCAAAGGCACTGCCTTGTTGTCTTGTGCTCGTACAAGCAGGGTAAGGTGACCCAGGCTTACAAAGGAATTTGGCGCTGAGGGAGGGATGAAGTGGTATTACTGCACCGGCCAGAAATATTCCGATAACTGCAGGAAAACACAGTGGTGATGCGGCTGTGGGTGACAGTGCCCTGTCTTGCACCATCAAGTTTCTTTAGAGTTAGAAGAAAACAAACCTTGTACAAAAGAGGAAGGGGCCAGCCTTTTCTTTAAATTACTTTCTTGGTAGCGAAACAGCAAGAAATAGAGGAGAATATGGAGAACGGGAGGCAGGTGAGAAATATTCACCATCAGGGCTGCAACTTGGGGACCCAAGTGGAGTCCCCTGTCCCTGCCTGCAGGCACTCCTGGCCACTGCTGGCATCAAGGCAGCGAGATCTCGGGGCCTCTTTGCTAGCCCAGCCTGGCCATTTCAGTGCCCAGGCCTTGGGTACAGAGCTGCCACCAGCCTTACACCGCTCCTACAGCTTCCTTTTGAAACCTCTCCCTGTTTTCCAGCATCTTTCCAGGAGCTCCCAGAGATGGAGGAGCCAGAAACAGCTTTCTAGCAAGCTCACCTGCTCCCTATCCCTTTTTTAACACCCCTAGTGCCCCATGGAATGGAAAATCCCCGCTGGAGAAAACGTCAAAGAGCCTACACCAAGCAAAAACACTGCCCTTCCCTGAGTCAGTCAGCAGCTCCTCTGTTCTTCATCTCCTTTCACTCGTTAACTTCCCCGTTTTGGGGTGGCTGTGCTTCAAGAGTCCTCCTCGGGGTCCCCATCCTGCTCACCCACACTTGAGCAGGATCTGGGGAAACAAAAAGCAAAAATCAGTTTAAAGCAAAAAAAATTAATAAATAAATAAATAAGCAAAAATCAAAAATTTAAAAAAAAAAAAAAAGCAAAAACAAAAAATAAGCAGAATTTGGGGAAACAAAAGGGATTATTTTCTGCAAAGAGGCTGACCTCTGTACTCGGTGAGGACTCAAAGGGGGAAATGAGCCTAACCCTGTGCATTATGCGTTCTGGATTTTGCCTTGGAGACACCTAAACCTCAGACGGGCAGAGGGGAAGAAAAGCATTTTGTTAATGCCCAGGTACACGAGGCTGGCTTCCTGGGCTGCAAGCAAAGGAGTCTTCGGTGGTTTTGAAGCAACCAAAACGAGGATGTGGGAAAGAAAAGGGCAGCCTTATCTCCCGACAGGCCTGCGTTCTCCGGTGGGGGCTGCAGGCTCCTGGTGTATCTCACCGTGCCGCATTCACTGGCCGTGACCTCCTCGCTGGGTGGAGCGTGGCACAGAAAGCCCTGAATAATTTAATATTGACCCAGCAGGGGAGGAAGCAAATAACTCACAGATTGTGATCGAGGCAGCTTTAGAGAAAAAGGAGACATCTCACTGCAGAGGAAAAATGTTGTCTGAGGCTGTGACTGCTGAGAAAACTGGACTTTGCTGCATGGTGTTGCTCCTGGATGAGGTTTCCAGAGCCTGTGCATGGAGGTTTGTACCATGGCTTCTCATTAAAGAGAAAAAGTCCCCAGGAAATTGTCTAAAGAGGAATAAAACATAACGCTGGGCTTGTTTTGCTGAGTCAGAATGATGCAAGGGTGCTCGGAAGGAACAAACACTGGCTTTGAGTCACCTGATAAAATCGTGTACCTTGACTATCTCTCCAGTCTGCTGACAGTGAATGGCTTCAATGAGCAAAATCCTCGGTAGCCTGGCTGATCTTTCCTCGTAATGCACTTTGTTTGCACGTCCCCTGCTTTGCCCTGTGCCCTGTGCAGCACGCGGGCCCGGGATGGAGTCCTGCACAACTCACTGTGTGCAGGACTTCTCTAACAAAGACGACTGGTGTTGAGGAAGAATAAATCACAGATCACAGGACCACAGAACGGCTGGAAGGCACCTCTGGAGATCGCCTGCTCCAACCCCTGCTCAGGCAGGGACACCCAGAGAGGAAACGTCCCTCTGGGAGGCTCCGCTGCAAGCCGTGTTTGTGCTTAAAGAGCAAAGGATGTAAAAAGGGCTTTTAAATTTGGTGAAATTTAAAGGGGGTAGACCTGGGGCAGAACGTCCCATCCATACACACCCACTGCCTCCAACACATCCCCACTGAGCCTGCAGGGCTGCGGAGGGGGGCACGGCGCTCTGGCAGCTCCAAAAGCAGCTCCTGCACGGCTGGCAGAGTGCTGACAAGTGCTGGCTTATTGCTGGTGGCTGTGGGAAGCCCATTTATTCCACTTACTCCAGGAGGAGACTGGGAGATGCGGTGGCCTGCAACCCCAAAGTCAGTTTGGCAGTGGTT